TAAACAAAACGTAGCGAAATAAATTGACAAAAGTCTTACAATAGTCTTAGCAACCGCGTTGAGTCCTGGGCCGGAAACAGGATCGGGCGTTACCGCTGCCTCCAGAGCGTTCAGGGCATTGTTGCATTCGTTCAGGGCAGCCTCCAATTCTATTAAATATGCGTCACACGAAGTCATCCTGACAAGTCTCGGTAGGGTGTCCACTTGGACCGCCGTGTCTTGCTCGAATTTTAAAGTTTCCACCTGAACCGCCTCGTCTACCTCCGATCTCTCCTGCGTTTCTAGCTCTGCTTTCATCGCAGCCACTCGCGCCTTGATGTCCCGCCATAGGAGCTGATATTCGTCCACCAGTTCCTGAATGGCGGCCACGTCGTCAGGATTGCTCTCCTGCATGACTCGCAATGCCAGCTCGTCTGCTTTGCGCAGTATGACGTTTTGAGTATCGAGTTCCTCTTCAACTTCGCACAACTGTTGACGCCTCCGTCGCGAGGACGATCTCTGCTCCGGCGTGGCGAGATGCTGCATCTGCGTTAGGCGGACGTCCACTTGCGTCAGGCCCACCACCGCGGCACCATGCGTAGACACAAACTCGCGATAAGTCTTTTGTTCCCGCTGGATGCTTGAGATAATGGCGTTGATTCTTGTCTCGAGGGCCAACCACCTGTCGATGATCTTTCGCGTCTCGCCTGTGAGCGACCTAAAATTGTCGGGATCCAGCCCGTACTTGGCTAAGCGCCCAAATATCTGTTCGAGGATCTTCAAGGCTTTCTGACGCGCCTCGATATCCTTGGCGATCGATTTAGTCTTCTCGGTTACCTTCTCCGACTCCTCCTTCGAGATTTCCGTAAGATCATTTTCCAACTCTGACAGAGATTTCTCCGTCCTGATTAGCCACGGTTCGTGCTCGCATCTGATCTTTTCCATTTCCTGCAGCAGCTTCCAAATTGTCATGATTTTTCGTTTGCGTTCGGTAGATTTGATGCATATGGCTTTCCATCGTTTCTCCAGACCTTCTATACCGTTCTTTAACGCGTCCGTGTTAAAGGAGGCTTTCCACGTATCGCAATCGTTTAGCAGGATCTCACCCAAATTCAACACCTCACCGATATTACCACTCTCTGCCTCAATGGTGGCTTTGAGATGATCGTGATCTTCGAGCTTCTTATCGATACTCTTCTGCGTAGGTTTTTCGATAATAAGAGTCTCCGATAACTGACTTTCGATACCGGTTAACCAAGTTCGTAAATCGGCTATTTTCTTTAGCAAAGAGTTCATAGTTTGAATTAGATCGACAAGCTTATTAGTTCTCGCTTTGCTACCGGTCATCAAACGATTCCACTTCTCATTAACTTCGTCCAAGGATTGCTGTAGCTTCGTTTTCTCCGTTTCTTCGGCGGCTTCTATCAGCTCCCGTCCGGTGTTTTGTAACCATTCAAGTTCACGCTGTTTTAGATTCATTTCCGTCTGCAGCTCGCATTCGAGCCGTTTTACTGCCTCTTCAGGTTCGTCTAATGCCATTGTGTCGTAATCTTGCGTTTTGATCGCCGCTTCATCTATCCACGACAATAATTTATTTAACCTCTTCTCCCATCGACCATGAAGACCGCAACGTTCTCCGAGTTTATACGCTAATAAAGCCAATTGGTATTCAAGATCGCCGTGTTGCTGCGACAGAAGTGCATCGTGTTGATTTAACGTCTTCATGTCACTCGGGCTTAGACATTCCCTCAGTTGTTCCGTAATGACGCTGAGAGACTCCATGTTATGCTGTGCGTCAGCCAGACGAGTTTTTAGATGCTGGAGCGAGTCCAGTTGCTCTTTTGTTCTGGACAGACTCATTGGTCCCGCGTGGAAGGCAGCGCTTATCGTTTGACTAACTTCCTGGAAGGCCGTGGTGATTACTTCCGATTGTTTGACGTGCTCTTCGTGCAGTTTTTGCACTCGCTGAACAAAATCCCTCCAAGTTTTCAAGCCAGCGTGTAGATTGGCAATCCGATGTACGTTCGCGGCATGTTCCATGCGTATCGAGACAGCCAGTGCCTCGTCGCAATTAGCTAAGAGATATTCTTGCTGCTCTTGAAGGGATTCTATTTGAGCCTCGCCGATTGGCATCTTATCTAACAACGCTTGAATCCTCTGTAGAATCTTATCAAGCCACCTCAGGTGAATGAACTGCAGGTGCATGCGCTCTCGTTCTCGTTCGACCTCCTTCAACCACGTCAACAACTTCCCTTGATCCAGTCTATACCTGTCCCAGGCTGATATTCTCTCGCGTACTGCCTCATGCCGCTCCAATATTTTCGCCAACGTCTCATTGTGGAGATTCGTCAAGGCGTTGAACTGCTCGGCGACCGATCGATCACGATCCTCCTCCTGTCGCACCGGCAATATGAGATTCTGCTGCTTCGGCAGAAGTTCTCGATGAACCTCGCAAAGATTTCGATGCTCCGACAAACCATTGTAATCGCCTGGCATACCGCTCGATAAGAAATCTTGCACGTGTGTCAGATATTCCTCCCACAGCTTTAGCACGGCGGTTACATCCTGCGAGCGAACCAATCGCTTCGATAATCGATGATACTGCTGGAAGGTCTCCTGAAAGACGCGCTGCCATAGTTGGACCACTTCGACCACCGAGGGCTCTTGCACGGAACCGTCCAACGCGCGGTCCTTGATGGATTGAAGCTGCGGCTCGGTTCGAGTTAATGCGAGTAGGTGGTTTCGCAGCACCGTCAACTGTTCGTTAGACTCGCCTTGACCCACCGCTGTCAAACTCTGAAAAAAAATTAATGAACACGTCTTTATTGATCACGATCAAATAGAAAAAATACCGAGGAGGGAAATAAAAAAAATTATGACTTAATTTGGCGCGCGCAAATGGTTTCGCCAAAATTGTCGGCATTTGGTCGCCGATCGATTTCTACCGGTTAAGTATCATTCTTATTAAGCGTCGAAGGAAACGTGACTCAACAACGTAGCGACGTAGTTATAGTCCTCCCGACAAGGGAGGATCGTATCGGATCGCCTTTCTCTGTCGATCGACGTTGACGATGCACGATGCACGCCGTAAATTCGGCCGAGGGAAACAGAACTCGGCGCGGCGCCGTACTCAAGTTCGAAAGTTTCAGCCGACGCTGTGTGTTGCAGCCATTCAGCTGTTGCGGATTTCGTGACTGATGTAATTGCCACCACGGGTTAAGCCCTTCGGCCTTGACATAACAAATTGTTTCGGAACTACCGCGATTAAAATATAAACGCGCGTGCGAAGCGATGATCGAGGTTGTGCCAAGCACCAATGGTGCGCCGCTCGAGAACTGACGGACGCGTCAGGCTAAAGCGGCCTAACGCCGCGGGCCTAACTATCACCTTCCAGGCGCAGGGGAACACCGTGTACATCGATCCTTGAAAAATGTTTTAACTGTGAGAAATTCGAGGAAGGTTCTTGTTCTTCAAGGTCCTGAATCCGTTTCCTCGCATGTACGTGCCGCGATAAACCAACTAACGCGTCAAATACGTACACCCGAGAAAAATTATGGAACTACATCGCCACGGTATATATGTAACTCCAAGTTTGACATAAAATTGAAATCATATCTCGTGCTTATTACAAATTAATAAAATTATTTTTCCTCCCTTTTTAAAGGGAGAAGAGAAAGGATTCTCTTAAATTAATTTTTTCTAAGTCTAAAATTATCTTGACACCCATAATAATGCCCGAACGCTTCGCGTTTATAATAAAATAACTGCAGACGCTTGACTGACACGCAGCTAGGCCGAGGCAGATGCAGCCTGAACGGAGGCAATGGAGGTACCTGTTGGACCGAATCCAGGAAATTTTTCGTCTGGCATAGATCACCGCGGGCGAGTTCCTGGTTGAGGACACGAGCATCCACCGTGTCCGCAAGGGTTGACAAGGTTTCTCGAACATCTTCGAGTCGTTGACCGAGCGCTTCGACTTCGCAGTGCAGCGGTCCACCGGCATCCAAACCCACGTCTGATGCAATCTGTGCTACCAGACCGCGTAGTTCCGCCAGTCTCTCTTTGTGTTCCGCCAGTGTCTCCTCGCAAACCTAAAACAAGTAATTTAAATTATACAAACAAATTATTGCACTTTAACGCGTCTGCATTTCATTCAAATTCTCTCCGTGGAAACTTTTCTCTTTTTTATCTCAAATCTATTAAACTTTTCATAATAATAAAATAAATACAAATTTCATATCTCTCTCTCAGTTAATTTTATGATTTATGTTATTTCTTAATTTTATGTTGTATTATTTATAATTTTGTTATCGGTAACCTAAATCCGAAACATTAATAAAATTGTTCCTTTTGCTTGCAGATGTAGTCAAGCGAAACGGATCTAGAACGGATCTAGAGTCGTCTCGCACACGAAAAGTTTCCTCTCTATCGATATTTATAGACGAACAGTATCTATTACCCCTTCTATATGAGAATCAAGTTTACTATGAAAATGCTACGCTGCACACATTTTCCGGAAACCTATTATCATGTATCTAAGTCCTCGTTAAGAAACTAGTACTTTAGAGTAGAGAAATGATTATCCAAGATATTTAATCAAAATATCCTTTTTCACATATTTACGCAGTTTAATTTTTCTTCATTTAACAGTATACTCCCGTTAGATCGTAGAAATTTCTTCATTAGCAATCGACTAATTATCGCCCGAAGTCACATATAGAAGCGATCGATGCATCTGTTGCGGTTGTATATTCTGACAATTAAATACTCGAACTCGTAACTATCCGAAGAGGCCTGAATAATTATAGTCTCGTTCACGCGATAAACGCATTGATTTAATCTCGCATTACTCGATATCTCGTTGTTCGCGATGTAGTACTTAACTTTATTTCATGTTAAAATGAGATGCGATCGAAAGATACGTCTTTTTCCTTCTTACATTCGCCTAAGAACGTAACAACAACACAGCGGCTAAAATGAATATTTTCTTTCTTTTCGTTGACCTCTTTCAACGATGACTAGACAGGATGGATGTGTATGTTTCACATTTGTGCGTGATACGCATATATTATCAACTACGGGACAAGACCTTTGCACATTTGCACGGGCGCCAACATCCGCCTTTATGAAACGCGTTTAAATTTTGGCAGATTGAATGACACACTCTTCATTTATTTCGCAAAAGGACAGGTATTCCTCATTTCATTCATACATTTCACGCAGTGTCCAACAACTCTCCATACAACTGATTTGAATGACAGTTTCTTAATAGATCTTTACGCAATTTTTGAATTATTCAGAATCTCTGTTAATAACACTTTTATCGATAAATATGTGTTTAAATATGTTTTTAAATTGTCATTGAAATTTAATCTAATCCAGATATTATATTTTTGTCTCTTTAGAAACTTTTGTCATGTGATAGAGATAAGAACATGGTCTCGGAAGCGCGACACGCGCGCGATTTTCGTGGCGTTAAAGTTATTTCTGTCTGTGGTTGTTATAATCGGCAGGAATTTCTGGCCTGCAGCTAACAGTCACGGCTTTTCATAGATTCATTCTTCTATTCTGTCATAGCTGGTTTTTACCTTTATTTCTTCCGGCGTACACATGTCTTTAGTCCAGACCGTCGCTCATGCTTTCTGTTTTTTCACGCGCGTTCTCATAAAGTTCCGCTCCAAAATGATACGTACACGTGTGGCACCATATCGTCTTCCGTCGTCTAAACACATGGTCCAAATCGTCGATGCGCATTCACATTCACGTACGCGTATACTACTTGTACATACGTATACGCGCGTATACACGCTTATGTATCGTGCGCACACACACGCACTCACGCATAAATGTAAATGTTTCCGGTACGCATAAATGTAAATGTTTAAAAAACTTTGGAGAGATAGGAAGCGCGATAATGGAAGCGCGGGTTTAAGAGAAAGCGTTTCGAGAGCGCATGCCGGATGCTGCGAACGCCGCAACGCCCTGGACCAGACTGACGTAGTTTCTAAGGGATCGATGCGTAACGTCTGTGCGCCCTCTTGCCCCGTATTCTCTCGATCCACCCCTGCCACGCCAGCGTGAGCGAGCGCGAGCGCGAGCGAGGGGTGACGATGATGATGAGTCGACTTCTACTCTTGTTCGTCCCTTTCTCATATGCCACGATCTCTTTACACAGTAGCGACAGTAGTGTGAGCGCGTAGTGGGGGACGATGACATCACGCTCTTTTCCATTCAAGGGATGAAAGCGCGTCTGTTGCACGCGTTTCTGACTCGCTCGTTATCGCGATTAGAGAAAAAAAAATGTTTCAATCTAATTCTCTATATATATTAATCTTCTCTCCCCCCCGTGTATAAAAAATACCAATTATAACGATGTTTAATATTAATTTAACTCTTTAATTTTTATTATAAAAATTAATATTATTTACAAATCTATATTTGTTTGTAAAAGATCAAAAGATCGATTCGAGAATCGGAAACAAGATGTTAAAATGTACATAAAATTCAAATGTGTTTAAAGTAGTTAAATATACAAAATTGATGGAACTTCAACTGCGATATTATTTGTTTAGCAAATTTTAAAATAGCGAGTGACGAAACGTCGCGGGAAACGTTAAAAGACTACAATTTTAGAACTTGACCCGAATCTTTCTCATTCCATTTTAAATTTTTATTTTATAAATTGACATTGCTTCTTACATAACTTTCTAATTTCTGCGAGGGTCAATACTTAAGAGAAATCTATTTGCTCGCTACTTATCAGCTATTAGCACGCATCTTCACGTGCGTCTTTCATTTCTGCGATTAACTAAGATTAAACAAGACTTTTGGAAAGTGGACTACTTTCAAAGTGAGGGTTTCATTATTTAATTTATAACAACGACGAAGGGTCATCAGGCTTACCTTGACCTGCTTAACTGCTTTCTCTGGTGGCAAGTTTACCACACTGTTCATTTGGGTGTCTACCCAGGCCTTCACCGCGGCGCTAGAATCTCTGTATTGTTGCCAGAGCCTGCACGCGTGTTGATATCGGGTGCAAAGGGCATCCAATTCGGCCCTCGTGTCCTCCCAAGCCTGTACGGCCTCATTTACTGCGGCGTCGACCCTTTCGCAGACCTCTGCGGCGCAGCTCTCCCGCAGAGGCTCGGCAGCGGCACGTAATTCGCCAATGAGAACTTCTCGGGCGCCCAAATCACCGTTCAGACCCTGTCGTTTCAAGAAAAAGTATTGAAAAGTATTTAATATTCATGAATATACTGTAGATATTAGAAATTAACCAGCTATTACTACTTAGCGCGATTGTATCGTAATTGCGCGTTGTTTTCTCCGTTTTAATGAATTTCTATGTTCATCTGATGAGTGACAGTCATTTAGTGGCCATTTTTTCGTTTCATTTAAAAGATGACGTAGATACGATCATAATAATTATTAATCAATTCGATTTTATCATTGTTGGACTCATCGAATGGACACAGGATCATATTTTTACTTTTTTTATATCCACTGAAGATGACTCAAACTTGAATCGAAACGTTTGGAGTTTGTAATAAAGATTGAAGTTTTGTAATAAAAAGTGTTAATTGCGTACTGTTAACAGCGCTGATTCTCATTTGCCTTATTGTTTTCCATTGTTTGGGACAGCAAGAATCATTTTTATTAATATTTAAACAGTTATTGTTGCTCAATAAATTCAGATTCAAATTTTAAATTTAAAAAATCGGAGCATTGATGAAAACAACACAAAAGATAATTCTTATATCTATCAAAATCGTGTACTCATTTTTCTAATCACTTAACGATTATGATATGATGTTCTTCAACTATTATTAAAAATATTTTAAGTCTTCATTTAAGAGAGATAGATAACTTATTTCTTTTTAATAGATTGAAGCTTTCTTATCTTCTTTTACTCAACATTGATATATTTCAATTTCGAGAATCACACTTTGTGATTCTTGAAATATCGGCGGCTTCGCGCCAAACAATGCAAAGAAAGCGCCAGTTTTGCTTAAAACACGCTATAAATAAATTCACGGCACGAGACCAGCACATTTGGAGACTTACATGAATTCGGTCAGAACATGGTTGAACTAATTTTGTGTCGTGTACTCGAGTTCGTTCACCTCTTGATGAATTTTCCGGGAAAAGATATACACAGGTACACTATTTTATTGTTATTAAAAATTAATTTTTATCAAAGTATCAAAGAGCAATGCAAATTTCTTTTATGAATTTTTTAATAAAGCTTACAAATTTACACATAATTTATTAGTAAAATTCATATTTTATCGTGCTTTATTGACTTGTGTGCATTGGCTGTATGTCAAATTGGTTTAATATTAATTAACCGACCAGTCGACACAGAGAGAACATTCTGACGTTCTGAAATTCTAGCGGGACATGAAGATAAATCAATAGACAGTACATACTAAAAGAGGAAATCGTAAATATACTTTTGGACGACGCTCCGAAATGCACGCTTCTCCACGTGCCATAGTTTACATACCGCATTATCACGCTACAGTAATGGCTATAGTCATTTATGTCATTGTTATTTCTCGTAATTATTTCTAACTTGGACTAACAAATACTGATCATAGTTGACGTGTGATCATAGTTGCACGTGCTATATTTATTGCATTAAGCGTAATAAAATTTTCAAGTATATATGACGATTCATATAACATTGTTTATCAAAGTGCACGCTGCATAGTTTCAGCGGTTATATAAATCATTATATCACTTGTTTCACTGTAAACAATAATTTTTTTTAAGTTACTAGAACATAACAGGCGCGCGCTAGGCGCGCATCACTAAGCTTTTCATATTATATATTTTTATATTATTCATTGATGATAGCGACGTACCGTCGTGATGAAAAATAGAAACTCATTCATCCTTGTTCATCTTATTTTTATCCTTGTTCAAAACCTTGATTCAAAATTTCATTCGCTACTAACCTCGCCCGTCTTTTACAAATTGTCATTTGTAAATTGACAGTAACTCACGAAATTAGCAAAAGAACCAATCAGCATCGCGGAAAAGCGGCAACAATAAACTTCGAGAAAATACGAATAATCGACTTAACATTTTCTTTTTTAAAGGAATTGACTTGTTAGTCAATCGATTTCAAGTTTGAAGTTGATGATGAATTGAAAAAGCCTCACGTTATTTACACTTAATCGCTGTTAATATTAATTATTTAATTTTAAATAATGCATTTCATTGTATCTCATATACATCTCAATACTAATTTGTTTTTCGTAGAAAAGAATCACGTAAAATTTTTTTTATATAACGCCGTTTATTCCGATGCTTTCCATCATGTCTATTATTGCACTTATGTTACGCGATAATTTCACGATTGATCATAGATGTACCATGATAGATGTGTAATTTCATGTGGTCACGCACGAGGAAATTGTGATAATAACTGTACTGTACACTTATTTAATGCAATCGTGTTTATATATCTCGACCAATCGCATGCGAACGAGAGATCGCGAACTACGCATGCATCCGTGTTCTTTGCTTTACGCTATCTCGTTACAGACGACCTGTTGCTTGTAACGACTTCACGCCTGGCGTAATGTGTGTTGATTTAATACGCATCAATGAATAACGGTATATATGATTTTACTTTGCATCGCGATGTACCGATTCGTAATGATCTCGCGTGCAAAAAAAGGAAAGGAAGACTATGATGATTTGCCGGAAATAAATTCTTACGAAATCGTTTTCTCACATGCATTCGCACATTCGCGGAGAATAAATGATTATCCTACCTAAAAAAAAAAAAAAAAATGACTTTGAACATTGAAGAACTATAAAAACATTTATAAATTGTTTTCATTGGAAAATATATTACATGCGTTGATTTCAGTTCGTATATTTGTGGCAAAAACGTGTTACAAAACACCAAACAAAAAATCCGTTTACATAACTGCGAAATGATCAAGTAAATAATTTTTGAATTTAAACGAAGAAAAATTATACATGTTCTAAATGATTTTTTTCTCTTTGTAAAATAATTGAAAATCTCTTCGTAAAATAATTAATCGCTCCGTACTTTCGTCGACACGTGCAACGCACTATCAAAAAGGCAATGGCATTTATACCGGTCTCGCACGAACGTACATCCGGTTTCCTTTTGCAGATAACGCATGAATGCATTTATTTCGCGGCGATGGAGCGTTTAAAAAAAAAAAAATCTCATCATTCGATCTACTAAGCGTGCGAACCGCGGTATTCACCACGCCACTTCCGATTTTATTTCACACACAAAACGTGATAGTTAATTCCAACTTTATCACGTTTGTATTTACGACGATCGTCACTAAAAACTCCTTGAGTCATCATCATTCAAAAGTCGCGATTGCTTAACTCCAGTCTTTCAGTCTTTCACAATAATTCTCCGCGGAGACTTGAAAAATCCCGTTTCAAATATTCTTCGCGCAGTCTGGAGCAACTTGGCACGTGTCATGCGGAGCGGAAACGCGAACCGCACCATTCAGGAAAACACTCGCCGTCCGTGAGCGGGGCAACGTTACCTTGAGGCTATTTATTGTGCTTCGTCTTCGTCATGGAATTCCGGCGTTGGAGAGTCGCGCCGGTCTGTAGAGAAGACTGCGAGACCTCATTCGATCGGTTCGCGTTTATCTCTCGGCCACGACCGGGTGATAATGCGGGTCGGAACCATGCAGGGAAAGAGTATCCACAGAGATATCGACGGGTACGGGGGCGGCGATATTCTCGGCGACGACGACGTAAACGTGACCACGGATCCCGCGGCACTGATAGTCACCGCGGCAGCGTACGATAACGCAACTCTAACGCCGCGAGAACGAGAACAAGAGCGGGAACGTGACGCCTGCGCGTGCTGAGAAAGCGATACTTCACGTAACGTGTGTGTACACTGATAAGATGTCGGCTTATTTGTAATCGGATCGATGATGTCATTGTTATTACGACTAAAAAAGTTTCTAACGATATGAATTCGTTAATTACGGAGGAAAAGTGGCTTAAAAGTTGAGAGTTTCGAAATTATTATCTATCCTCCGTTCCCCTCGTCCAAAGTCCTCTCTAATCCTATTCGTGATTTGTCTAATCGTCAGCGTCTATTCGCTCGCGGAAAGAATATGTAATAGATGACGATTAACGAAACCGTTATCTTATAAAACAATTACGTTGATGATTTCTGGACTGGTCGGTATTTCGAGAATAAATTTAAATAAACGTAAATCGATCGCTCTACTTTTGCGATATGAAGGAAGAAAAAAAAATAACTCACCTCGAGGCGTTCGGTGGCCTTCAGCAATCTGTCGTAATCAACGGAGCCTTGGACGGTTAACAATTCCATCATGTAATCCGCTTCTTGAACAGACTGCTGCACCATTTCCAGCTGTTTCTCGAATCGTCGCCACAACTCCAATCTATTTGTTAGCAATGAGAGCAGGTGCGCGCATCTGGATTCGAGCTCGGTGTGCACGTCCTGTATGCTGGATAAGTCTCTTTCTATGCTCACCGGTGACACCGTAACTCTCATACCAGTCGGTAAATTGTGTAGCATCTGTCGCAATGCCATTAGGTCCTGCCAGAGAACCGCCAATTCGTTTGCGACCGACCGACAACGATCTACGGCTGCGGCCACCAGATCGCTTTCTTGTCTTTCGCTACTCTCGCATTGATCCAATATCGTTGATAATCTCTTGTGGGCCTTCCTGAAGCGACCCAATCCACGTTGAAGAGTCTGAATCTTCTCTTTGAGTAATTGCGCCGAGTCCAGCTCTTCACTTATCTGCCCTTCTATGCAACGCGCCGATGACAATAAAATTCCGACTCTCTCGCTCTCCGCTGCTGGTAGAAGACCCAGTCGACCTATTTCGTCCTGAATCAAAGAAATCCTCTCGAATAATATGGTAAGTCTCTCAACGTACAAATCGAGTTCTTCTTCTGTTTTCAGTACTCCGTGGAAGCTGTTAATGGTTATTCGTAACTCGTTTAGTTCCCTCTCGAGTAACTTCAATTTTTCATTCGATGAAATTTCCTCCGACGAAATGCTGCGAGTAACATCCTTTTGAATCCCGTTGATCTTGTCGCTAACGTCATTCCAACGATCCTGTAACTCGTAATGAAATTGTCGCTGCAACATTTCGTCTGACAGAGGTATAATTCGTAGAGCCTGCTCAAAGTAGTTGTCCGCTTCATTACGCATATTGTTGTGGACTTCATACTGCGCCTTTAGTTCCTGTAAACAAAAAAAGGTTATACTGTAGATTTTGACGCGTAATTTGTTTAAAATTTTTTAATCGATAATTATATATTGAAAATTATGGTATTAGAAGCGAAATGTACGTAAGTTGTACGTGAGTTTTTGATGATTTTTCAAATGATAACAGTAAAATTTGGATCATTGATAGGACATTGTATTAAAATGCATAGACTAGGATTTTCGATAAAAGGATAGATGAAGATGTTATGTAATATAACATTTCGTTCTTCAATTTTAATCATGCTAAAAATACGATTCGTGTGGAAGAGGATTGCTTTCGATGGCAGGAGGCCAAATGCGTTGGAAAAACGTGACCTAAATGTACGTACGGTCCATCGATAAATATATATGCTTTTACTGGATCAGCGAGTTATAAATATATCTACAAAGCTCCAGATTGAAAGGATGCTTACCCAGAATTGACGCATTGAACTTCCAGATGGATCGTGCAGTGTGACAAGTTCTTTCTCGGCCATCATCATCCAACGTTCTACACGATTCGTCAATATCTCTTGATTATTCCAACTTTCTCTAAAGGCTAATAATCTTCTCAAAGAAGTCTCGATATTGTCTTGCAGTTTTACGATTATATCCAAAGCTTCGCCGTATCGATCTTCGGGATCTTCGATGTTGATAAGTTCACGTAGACCGCGTGCCACGTCGAGTAATTTAATTAATCGCGCATGATGGGTCGCCACGTCCGATGATAGTGACTAAAACGAGAAAAATTGACAAGTTATTAAATTTATATTTACAACACACTCGCATCGTTTGATACGAGCAAGCATTAATAGCCTTAATGTAATTACCTGATATAAGGAGATGTATTGATCATAATCGATTGAAGTCACCGTTTGAAGATCGGGCACTCGTTGATGAGCAACTTGAAGCCATCCTCTCTCCTCCTTAACACCCTGCTCCAGTAGCGTCCATCGCGATGCGGCCAAGGCCATTTGTTGCGCTCTTGAAGCTGCTTGATCGAGCAATGCCGTCGCTTTACTATGAAGTTCCTCGTGTAAACCAGAATGTTTGGCTCTGGTTTCGGGATCTAGATTGCCTTCCAGCGATTCGAGAATCGCTCGGCAGTGATTTAGATTAACGAAAAATTTTCTGTGCTTCTGCATCTCCTCTTGAAGATGTTCCAGGCTCATCGCAGATATCGGACTGTCCAATAGATTTTCGGCGATTTCGATAATTTGCGTAAATTCTTGAAGCGTTTGCTCATATTCTTCGGCTAAAGCGAGTAATTGGAGAAGACGCTCTCGTTCGACGCATATGCCGTGTTCAATGATCTTTGTCATTTCGTGCGCAGCGTAGATTTCTTCGGGTATAATTTTGCCAGGATGTTCACGTAATAATTCGCGAGCATCATCGAGAAGCCTATTTGTTTTCCACATATGACAGCGATTCGTGTTCTCCAGTTTATCGAGCTCCTGCAACTTCCATTGTGTAGAATACTCGCTTTCGATTATGAGATCAAGCTGTTTACGTTGCTCTTCGATTAATCTGTAACGAGAATTTATTATATTGATATAAATTATATTGATGTAAAAAAGAGAGAAAAAGATTAAACACAAAGATTAAAATTATTTTCTTTTATTTTTAGATTCAGTTTAAAAAAGTATGCAAAAAAATATATTATAAAAATTTATTTAATAGATTGCTATTTATCAATATTTTTGTAGTATCTTACCTGTATACATTATTAATGCCATTTAGAAATTCATCCCATCTTGCGAGTTGTCTGTTAGTTTGTCTCTCTCCATCACTAGTGACATGCTCGATAATTTTTACTTGATGCTCGAGGGCATCCACACATTCTCGTAGTTTCTTCCGTTCCTCTTTAGAATAGCTTGGCTCTAATTGTTTCCAAATGTCATCAAGCTCGCGAATACTTTCTTCCACGTGATTCACCTCATCTTTCAAGTCAACAAATGTTTTCGCATCTTCGTGAGAAGGTCCAGTCGGACATTCTCTATTTAGAAAGATTCGGTATTCGATGGTCTCTAGCCACGTCGAAATTGTTTCGACAACAGTAACGAGAGTTCTTCAAAGACGACTACATCGTTCTCTTGAACAGCATTCTTAATTGTGCCAGTTCTCTGCGAACAATCCGACCGAACGTTCTTCCGCGAGTCTATCCGTGGTGACTTCTTCTAGATGTACGATATGCAGGATGTTACCTAGATGACTCGAGTCATTGGTATTTTGTAAATTTTTTACTCGATCAGTTATTATTTTAGCAGCTTGCGTCGTTTGCGTCCCCTGATGTTGCTCTGATTTAGCGGTGTATCCCAGAGATTCTTGTACGAGGAAAGCCGCGGACAAAACCTGAGGAGACGATACTTTGGTAACAGGTTCTTTCCACAATTGAGCTTCTTTCTTCTCATACGTCTCGGTGCTGGATAAGCTAGGTGCTGCAGACACTTCGGATATTACTTCAGCGTATGTTTTGATCTCTGTCCGGAATGGTTTGGTTTCTTTAGTCAGAATAGGTTGCTCGATTTCTATGGGAGTCAATGGCTCTTCAGTAGTGTCCATTGGCTCGGGCGATGACTGCTTAGATGCAATTTCAGGTGACTTTTGCTGATTTGATGACATTAGCAACGGTTCTATCATCGGTCTACCAGACACAAATGACTTTTGCACTACTGCTGCTTCAGGTACTGTTGTTTCTGGAATGTTACGATCCGAGTCGATCGTAAATTGATCACTCGTCGATATAGGTACTGTTTCCGAGGTAGTTGGAATATCTAAAGATATTTTGCGAATGCCCTCTTCGTATTGATTTTCTATCACAGTTCTTGACACGGTATCCTCCGATTTCGCATCTATTTCGATTTGAGATATCTGAGGATAATCAGATGCTTCTTCCGAAATGTTATCATCTCTCATCGGAGATCTTTGCCTGCTGACGTGTTTTTTGGCAACATCAGAATAAGATAATTTCAAGACATTATCTTGGGACTCCATAGGTTGCCCAAATATTGATTCAAGCTCTGGTTTATCCTTGCTCGGTAAAACAATCTCCATGGTCTTATGCTTTCTCTTTCTCTTCTGTCGTTTTGTTGTTTTATTATCACGCTCTGTAATAACCGTATCGTTATTGAGATCTTCGGTAATCGTGGTATCCTGTGAAGTATCGGTCATTTCCTTATTATCAGATGCAACGCTATCAAGCGTGTCACTGGCAGATAATTCTATGCTCGCGTGAACGTGGATCTCAAATGACGTATCGGAAGTAGTATCTTTGTCTGACATCGAAGATGACGTAGATTCTTTTGTCTTTGCAGTAGCTTCTGGCAGTCTTGGATGATCTTCCGCCATGGATATTTCTGGAAATTGATCTTTTGTTTCTTTTTCAATGTTGGATGTTTTCGTTTGTTTGACATTTTCTGGAATTATTGTAGGAACCTCTTGTATTGGTTCATTCATAATTTCTTCTTCTTTTACCTGCTCTAAGGATTTTATAATTTCTGGTACTTGTACATCAGGTGCTGCTGGAGTTTTTACTAAATCTACAGATTCTATTTTCTCTTGCTCCTTTATCTCTTCTAACACAACTTCTTTCGCTGGCGCTTCGTGCAAGTCTTCTTTTTCAATTGGTTCCGTCTTGAAATCTTCCGTAGATATCTCAACAGTATGAGTTGGAATCTGTGTAGTTTGTTGAAATACCGACATCGTTTCGACTGGTTGTTTCTCTTCTTTCGGTGATGTTTGTGCGCTAATCTCACATACCTCAGGAATATTTTGTATACTCTCTTCGATTTGTGGTATCAATTCGTTTGCCTTTATTTGCACCGAACTGTCAAAAGTATCAATTTTCTTTGGACTGATCTGCAATGTCTGCGATTCTTCCTCCGCAGTCTCCTTCACTTCTTCAATACTTTGAGTTTGAGCAGATTCTTCGCACACTTGCATAGGTTCTGGGCTAATTGTAATTGGACTCGTTTGCATCATGGTCTCTGTGGTTGGTTCGGGTGATTTTGTTTGCATCTCCGTTTCTCGCAACTCCATTTTTTGTAAACTTTCTTCAGGTGTCGTTTGTGTCTCCGTTGTTGTAGCAGGAATTTCTGGTGTTGCGATTGTTTGAGTATCTATATGTGAGACGTCTGGTTGTTCTGGACTAGCCGGAGCACTTGTTTGCATATCCTTTTCCAAAAACTCCGGTATTTCTGGAGATAACGTTTGAATAGAAGTTTCATGCACAATAACTTTTTCCTCTACTGGTGATGGAGTAGTTTGTTGTTCGACTTCCATCATAGTATTTATTGTTGTTTGAGTTTCAATTGCCATCATTGGAGCTAATTCAACGGGTGAAGTTTGCATTTCTGTGGAAAGAACATCAATTTCGGTTGTTTGTGCTTGATTGTCTTCTGTTTCTACTGCAATAACAGCGGGAGTGTCATCTTCCATTGGACTAGTCTGAATAGCAAACTCTTCCATTGGCGTTGCCGTAGGTGTCATAGTTTGCACACCTGAATCTTCGACTTCTGGAGTTTCTTCTGCAATAGTCTGCGCACTAAAGTCATGGCCGGGCTCTACAAATGTTTGTGTTTCAATATGAATTTCTTCGGTTCTAGCTGTTTGTATCTCTTCTTCTAAAGTCAACGGTACTGGCTCAGGAGATGTTTGCATAAATGTAGAAAGACTTTCCTCTTTTGCCTTTGGAGTAAACGAAGTCGATACATCGCATGTCTCTATAGCTGTTTGAGTATTCGCGTCATCTAATGTACTTTTGTCTTTAGCAATACTTTCTTCTTTCTGTACTATTTCAACTTTTACTTCTTTCACTTCGTCTTCAGGTTTTATTATCTTCTCTTCTTCTACTTTCTCTTCTATTATTTTATTAACTTCTTCTATCTCATTGTCTTCTTTTATTATATCCTCTACAGTTATCTCTTTTAATTCAGGAATCTCTAAAGGAAGACTGTCATCCGTAAATGCCGCATCATCACTGCTGGTCTTAGGCATCTGAGTCAAATCTTCATCTTGATGCAATCGAATCTTTTGCTTCTTTTTCTTCTTCCTTTTCTTTTTTGCTCCATCTTCATTTTCTGGTGCGATCGACAATTCATCCATAGTTTTATCATCCGATTGATATACATCATTCTCTGCCATTGTGCCATGATTTAAGCTTAAAGAAGATTCAGTAATAGACTTGATGATTTCTGCAACATCCGGTTGCGGCTGTTCGCTATGTTTAGATGAATCAGATGATGGAATATTGATTTCCATAGATTCAGCAATAGATGTGACAATAGAAGTGCTAGAGTCTGTTTCTACAGGCTTCTCCGAAGACTCTGATTTATCCTTGTGTCGTTTCTTTTTTCTACTTTTGTGACTCGTTGTATCCGATTTGCTTTTTTCTGGCGATTCAATGTGAACATCGACTTCTTTTTCAGCAGTATGTAATTGTAAAGTTTCCGTTTCTTTTTCAGCTGTAAGGAAAGCGGTGGTTTGCACAATCTTATCGTGTATGATTTCTGTTATTTCTTTATCTGCTGGAAGATTAATGTCTACATCTTCCTTAACGATGCTGTACGGAGCAATTTCAGGCCGTTCTGCTTGAGTTTTGATAGAGACCAATGGTTCTACTTCTTTATCTTCTTTATGCACAGACAGAGATATTTTAACCTTATGGAATATCGGCTTGTATTCTGGTTTGAGTGCTTCGTCTTTAGAATAATATTTTTCATCATCTGTAAACGGTTCTGATATTTCTCGTTCTTCAAAATGTGTCTCTATATCTTCCATTTTTGTAATAATTTTTTCTGCGTTTTTATCGATTTCAGGAATGCCTAATTCACTCGCTAGAACAGTTGATTCATCTTGCAGTTCTTTAAGTGATGTTAAAATTGTAATTTCTTTATTTCTGGATGGTTCGAGCGATGCCTCTCTTTCTAATTCTGCTTTTCCATCATGCTTTTCCTCTAACACAATGACATTCGATATATCGACATTTTTATCAATTTCTACAGTGTTTCTATCGTCATGGTGCGTCTCTACTTCTACCGTGCCATTTTCTAACTCGATACTGGGTGTTTTGCTCTTTACTGGTGCATCGTCAGACTTACAAGTAGCCTTGGTGACCACCGGCTCATCATCTGTTACGGCAGGAGATTTTACAGATTCGGATTGTACCGTTGTAACACAGATATCTTCGAGGACAGGAGTCTGCAAAACAGCAGATCGTTCAGCATCGATCAGCGCTTGAGTATCGATCGCAAGTGTACCTATGCCATTTACCTCGGTAGAGAGATGCTCGTATGTTTGTTCATCCTTTGTTTTCTGTTCAGTTTCTTTTGATATTACATTTTCATCCCTTTGTTCGGTAGAAGTACCTTGATCAACTTTAGCCAAATTTTCTATTTGTAATACCTGTCTTTCTAAAGAAGAGGATGCCGCAGCTTGTGTGGAATCTGTTAATTGTATCTTAGAATCTGCTGTCTCTGTTTTAGAATCTAGTATCTCTATCGTGGGTTCTTCTAATAATATAGTTTCCCTTTTGCGATCCTCAACATCTAATGTTTTAGTTTCTGTGGTGTCATTATCTTTTTCCGCAATTGTTACCGAAGTTTCTGTGATCTCTTCTACTTTGTCTCGGCGCATGCTCGTCATATCCTTAGCAAACGGTCCAAAGAACGGTCCCTGCATTGGACTTTCGGGGACATAAGATTCCATTGATATTTCCGGTCTCGCCGCTTCTTGTCGCTCTATAGTCCTTTGATCTTCGCTCTTAACCACGTTAATACTGATGTGCGGTATATCTTGTTCGTCTATCTCTACTTCTTCAGGTTCTTCGATTATTTCTTCGGTAACGGTTTCCTTGCCATCTACGATGACGACTTTCCGAATGATCTTACGCGTCCGCTTGATCACTCGTCTCGTGACTTGTTGGACAACGGCGTGAACGCTCGATGTCCTCGTTTGATACTCGCCGCCCTCTACTAGTATCTCCTCCTCGACTGGTTGGCAGCTGATATCTCCTATCTGACCTTGCGTTACCATGCGCGTGTAACGAGGTTCGGACTCATACTCCTCCACATTGATACCTTCGGCAGGCGCGCCCGTGGTGACTTTGCCACCATAAATCTGCTTTGTCGTGGTCTCGATGGTGCCGTCCGGTCTCATCTTGGTCATAGTGATTTGTTGATCTCTCATCGCAGCCTCCGAGAAAGCTTGCATTATTGGCGGCGCATCTTCAACCGCTGCTGATAGCGTGGATACACGCTGCTGTGTGGTTTGCCTGCTGGTGACCATAGTACGTCGTAATTTTTTGACTATAATTCTCTTCGTGCCGTCGGCGTCGACGACCACTTCGGTAGTGATGTCGTCTGGTTCGACGAGAATCGTCTCGAAAGATTGCGGCGCGACGTGGACGATATTCAGCTCGCTCATCGCACTGTCGGTCTTTTGCGCATCTTGGTATTTCATGTCAACGACGATGTCTTCGCTGGGAAGAATGTTGGACTGTTCCCGACGCGCTATGTCTTGACTAGAACTAGGCGGTACATACTTAGTGGCTATCTCGATCACATCGTGATCGTCCGTTGTTGTTTTTAGGACTTTTATAGCTTCTTGCGTTTGAGCACCCTCGCTCGGTAATAAATCTTGCGATGTCTGTGTTGTCAGAGAATGACATGTGGTCGACGACGGCATTTGCGTTGTAGATGTCTGTTTTGTGAGTTTCGGTTTCCTCTCGACTACATCGTCGATCAAACTTTGACCTGTCTGTAGGGAAACATCAGCCAAAGATGGCGAACCGCCTTCTAAGGAAGAATGAATTGAGGGGGCTTCGTCCAAAGTAGCATTGTCTCTCTCTGTCGATTCGTCGTCAGCTTGAGCTTCCTCATCACAGATCTCCTACGAGGATAATGATTGTCTTGAAATTATATAGAGAGATATATTTGTACGGCAGTGTAGTTTGATTAATTACGAATATCAGCATCTATTTCTACATGTTGAATTAAAAAAATAGCGCCGTTTAAAATTGTTACTATTTTGTTTATGAGAAATAAATGGAATATTAGTTTTATTTAATTAGTATGTAATGATACTGGATAATTTTTATAGCGATATGTGTCTGACAATTTGTTTATGTACTTTTTATTTATTTAAACTATATATATATATTATAACTATATATATAACTATCTAAATTTTAAACTATAAAATATGAAACATTTTTATCATTTTTTTATAAGCAGTTAATTATCATTAATTATCTTATTCATGTTGCAATTGAATGGACAATTATGTGTACACATTTAAAAAAGCTTTAATTTTTATCGATTGATCAATTAATCAACATAATATATATTTAATATATATTCAGAAATTATTTACGCAGTATTATTATTTACGTTGGATAAAGTATGATACACAACTATAATGTTCAATAATGGGAAATAAAGGAAGGAGAGTAGGTATTATGAGAATTTTCTTTAATTACATGAAATATTACAACAATATATTAACATTCCTTAATTACATGCAATGCCTATATTACATCCATCACCTTAAGATAAATGAAAATACATAGTAATCACTTGATACAAATAATGTACAGTGAACTAAGAAATAATGTACGATGTGTGATATCTATAATGAAATAATGTGCATGGTGAAAAGCGCAGTGTGTTTGTAACAATGATGAAGAGAGCAAAAGAAAAAAAATATATACCAAAAATAATGATTCGTACAATTAAAACAATTTATGTGTCCGTATAAGCATGCAAAAAACTATTTTATTAAGCTTGATGACTAGAATGTCAATCCGCCTATTGCGGACAGTTGCGGCGTTATTTATTGTCGTTTATTACGAAGCATTCAGCATTGTCTGTAATTATTGAACATTACACAGCGTTTCCGGAATGACCATTTGAATCCAAACGCACTATCTCAGACTCTTACTCAAGTAAGAGGCAGAATAGTTCTGATTCATGATATTTATTTCCGAAAACATTTGCTTTCATAATGCATCTATGCTGCATTAATTAACGATCTATAATTTTATCTCTGTTATCTGTAATGTTTAATCCGCTCTACAAAGCTTGCCAGCTTTGTAATAATCGCAATTTGCAAGCTTTCTATTTTTTTAATTTTTTTTTTTTTTTTAATTATGAGATGAAGCTTTGTAATTATTGTATTCTTTGTAATTATTTTAAGCAACTGAGGCACCATGAAGAGTAGTGATATTTGCGAAAATCCCCGAACTCTGGAAAGCGTTGGATACCTGCTGCTTTTGCTGGAGACGATTAATTATGTCCAAGAGGGCTTCCTTCAATGTTATCGCTAGCGCGCTCACTTCTGACATCGATTCGAGTTTTGAGACTTCATGTATACGACTCGTTAATTCTTCCTGTAAAGTCTGTACGTTGCGACAAGCAAAAGATTGGTATTATTTCGCGGTCACAATTTTTTTTAAGATCATTGAATATAAAATATAAAAATAGCGAACGTAAAGAACGTAAAATATTTTTGATATGCCCTAATAAAAGATTGTATTAAAATATTTTTGCAAAATATGGATTTCATTATAAAATAAGATAAAAACATTTTAAACATAAATACCTTATTGGTATTAATCGAATGTTGTTCGTGCAGCTGTGATATGATGTTTCTTAACCAAGTGTCTGTCTCTTCAAGGAATAATTTATAAGTATGAATCTCCTGGCCGCGTTTCTCTTGGCTCTCTTGTGCTTGTTCGAGAACTACCTTCCCTTGTTCCGCTTGATCTAGAAGGGAGGTAACACGTGTGTGAATTCCCGTTAAAGCTACCGAGAGCTTTTGGGACTCAACATCGGCAGGAATCTCGCGTAATCGTTTTTGAAGTTGCGTGGCCTCCTCGTCGTAGGTATGAAGTTCCGTCAATATAGCCTAAAGCAAATAAAAAGAATCTTTCGATTTAATAATACATCAATCACTTAGTACAATGTATATTACAATTAATCGATAAAGTTGACAATATGAATTTTGTAGAAATTTTTTTTAATTCCTTCAGTTCTGAACTTATTTTAATTTCATAAAACTTTTAATAATTTTATCTACAAGTATTTTCTCCCTATTTTGCGTACTTACCATGAGAGATGAAAGCATAGATTCTATGCTATCTCGAGGTAAATAACCCATCGTTCCTTCGAGATTCGAAAGTCTTGCTTGTAGAGAAGCGAAGCCTTCTTCGATATCCTGAAATATGAATAATTGTTAATAATTTCACGTTGACTATGAGATTTATTATTATTTTTAATCATGCCGTGCACACGACGGAGTTCAATTTTCACACTGCATATTAATCTTATCTTAACGTCGAAAACTCTCAAAACCTGTAAGAGAAAATATTATATGATGTTACAAAATGGCATACTGTAAAACACAATAAAAGCTTATTGATGAGGTCAACTCCTTTAACATTTTTAGTGGAAGTATATACAAACACTTATTATTATGTATGGAGAAATAAATTTTTGTCATGCAAATTATTAACAAATCTCGTAGTATCTTGCTAAGGAATTCGAATGCAAAGACCTGTCACGTAAAGTTGCCAGCAACCAAAAGTAAAAAGAAAATCAGGAATTGCTTTGCATATTATTTTTATTTCCTATGAGCCTCGATGATTCTTGATTACTCTGCATAAAATACTTCGTTGATACCAGGATGATATTGTTTGTTATCTCGACTCTCAATTCATATTATAAGCTATATGCATACAACAATAGAAAAATTGACATCTTTCAAAGAATGCGCAATATAAAGGCTATTTAATTAATAACATACATACACAAAAAGCGTATTTGGAAAGCGAGATAGGCATGCAAATAAGGCAACTATATTTTGAAAAAGAAAGATATATTACTATTATACGTGATTGCTATTTCATGCGAATGACAAGAGAAGATATGTTGTATTAATTAATTTTGATTTGTTACATATATCGATAAAAAAATGATTAAGATGTTTTATTATAAGAGATTAGAATAGGGTTATAATAATAATTCGACAGCAGGGAGAGCAACAACATACATTTACACATGGGCTGTAATCGACGACACAAGAAAATCGCACACATTGGACTTATTGGGGAAGAAAAAAAGTATGGTTGTTTTACAAAATGAGAGACAAAGAGAGAGAGCGAAAAACCAACGGTAGACAATCCAGATAACTAAAATACAACACGTATATATACATGTACATGTATATATACACATGGCAGTGGACTTGGTTCAAATTCGACTAGAACAAGACCGAGCACTGGCCGTGACGGTGATCGCACCTGGATCCTGCGTATCCTTCTTTCAGCCTCGTCTTCGGCCGTCTCTCTCTCCACATCTCCATGCGGGCTGCACTCTTGCACGAATTCCTCCACCGTCTCTCTACCTAAATGCAGTTTGGGTTGTGGACGAAGATGGGTGAGGGTCGACGATCTGGTGTAAGTGTTAGGATAATCGGGATCTTGGAAGCTATTCGAAGAAGAGACAGCAGGACATTCCCTCGAGGTTACTTTGACATCTGCGAGAGACTCCCTGCGCGACTGGGTCCGCGGATCATGAGAGAGTGGAGACGACGAAAGGAATTCAGGTGATGACGGCTGGATATCGGTTGGTAGGGAATAATCCAGGGATAAACCCGAATCAATAGTTAAATCCTCGAGTGGTAGGCTGTGATCCATCGTCCGCTCGCTCTCGCTCGACAGATAAGTGCTATAGTCGCTCCAGCTACATATGCCACCGGGTAGATCGGCTATCATACGCTCCGTTTGGGGTGTTCCCAAAAGGGAACGCGAGTTTCCGTAAGAATCCCGTGATTTACTACCGCCACCGTCGCCGCCGCCCGAATTGTCGCCGTCGCGATCTCGGGGACGATGATGATCGTCGGAATCGCGTGAGAGACCTTTTTTCGTATGCAAGGCTAAGTTTTCGAAATGATCACGCTCAGCTTCGTGATAGGATCGTTTATCGGGCCAAAAACCATCGTCAATGGACAGGAACGGGTTACATAAATCAGTTGTAGATTGTTCCTGCAGGAAGGCTGGTGGAACGCACTTTCGTCGATCAGGCGTGAGGACCAAAATCTCGTTCGCAATGTAGAATTGTACTTTGGATTTAGGAGGCTCAACCGAAACGTTGGAATTCTCTTGTTCGATGCTTGCAACACGCTTTAATTTGTCCTCTTCTAAGGATTGTTGCATAACTAAAGATAATTTTTCTGATGATGAAGGATGTTTTATGATTGCATTTTCCGAATCATTTAATGGCTCTACTTGCATATGAGTATGATTGATTAAATTAGATATATCAGTTTCGATTTTATCGATAGATTTATTTGTTTCAACGTTGTCTGACGGTAATATCGATTCTATTTTTAAATCATTGTTAGTTGTAATATCGTCTAAATTTAAAGTATCATTAGGTTTAGGATGCAGTTCTTCTGTTTGAAGCAATTCGATATCTTTTGTTAAATCGATGTTATCAGCAGGTGCTTCTTCTATAACTGTTTTTATTTCTTCTGATTTTATAACCAATTTTGCAGCATTATTTATTTCTATTTGCTCTTCATATATTTTATGTTCATTTTTGATACCATCTTCTTTCTCTATAGTCTCTGTTTCAAGCTCCACTGAAATAATATTATTTTCTTCTTCTTTTGTAAAATCTAGGATAGACTCTATATTGAAATCTGTTTCTTTACTAATTGTATCATTTGTTGTATCATCTGCAATTGATACAGTTGTATTTATAATATTAGTATCTTCTTTCGGGCTTTCGAATTTTATCAAATCTTTCTGTTGTTGAAATTCGTTTTTATCGTCAACCTCGGTATCTTGTTTTTTCGAAGATTTCTGTTTTTGCTTACGTTTCTTTTCAGAAGGCAGCGAATCTTTAATTTTAATCTGTTTAATATCATCTTCTTTTTCTACAAGTTCTAATTCTATAAAATCTTCATGTTTAATTGTCTCCGTAGCAACAGGAAAAGTGTTCTCATCAACGTCTGGAGATTGTAAAGTTTCAGTTAGTCCATTATCTAATATAGTATCTTTATTTTTTACAATTTCTTCTTTAGTTTGCATAATATCACCTTCTACTACGTCTTTAAAGAAAATTTTAATATCAGTGTTTTCTTCACTAGATATAGTTTCGATATCTTTTGAATCGGCCGTAAGTATTGTCGAATCTTGAGGCTTTGTTTTATCATCTCGTTGTTTTTCTTTCTTTGACTTAGATTTAGTTTTAACTTTTTGTTTGTCCTTTATTGGAATTGCTTGTAAAAGTGAGGTTTCATTCTTGATTATAGCTTCGGATTTTTCTAATGGCTTGTCAATTTCTTCTATTTGTATAGATTCTGTTGTAGTTACCGATTCATCATTCTTTTGTGATACAAATGCATCATCTATTTTATCTTTTGATGGCACAGTATTTATAGTTTCTTCTATTACTTTAATTATTCCTGTAGTTTTAATATCTTCGTTGATATTTACATCATCAGATGAATCAGTAGATTTGCTTTGGGCAATTTTTGTTTTTCTCTTTTGTTTTCGTTTCTCCGCTCTCGTGAATTTAGGAATTTCTTTTTGTTCTATTACGTTTTCTTCCACTACTTTTTCTATTGGAGATTCTTCATATTTTTCTATATCTTTCGGTTTCTCAACTATAATCTTTTGTTGAACGCTTTCTATGATTTCATCAGCTATAACTTGTTGTTTAATATTTTCTTGCATATTAATTTTATCTGCTAAAGTTTCTTTATTTTCTGTATCCACCTCTGCAGTTACTTCCTCAGGCCTTGATTTTACTTTGTCGTCTAATTTTAGTTCCACTGATAATTCTCTTTTCTCTTCCAAATCTCCATCTGTTACTGTCTGTTTGCTTGTGTCAGAGATATTTGCAATTGGTTGCTCAACAACGAGTTTTCCTTTTTTATTTTTCTTCTTTTTAGATTTTGTTGTATTGTCTTGATATGTAATTGAAAGTGCTTTCACATCTTTACTTTCTTGTGCATGCTTTGCATCTTTAATTAATTGTGTTTCTTTTATTGATTGATCTTTGATATTTTTAGTTTCTTGATTTTCAATCAAGGGAGTTTCTGTTTCGATCTTATTATGTTCTATTTCATTCTCGTCTAAAGATTTTTTATCCTCTTTCGATTTTTCGATATGTTTTAATTGTTTCTGTCCATCAATTTCAGTAGGTTGTTTCATATCTTTGCCAGATTTCTTCTTTGATTTATTCTTTTTACCTTTAAGTGATACTTCTAATGCGGATTTTGTTTCTTGAATAATTTTACTGTCAACATTTTGAATTTCATTTTCTGCAGATTGCATCTGGCTCTTGTTCTTTGGTTCATTCAAGTCATTTTCCTTTTCATCTTCATCTTTCTTAGATGCATGTATCTTTTTAAAGGGTTTGACATTTTCTTCCTTAGTAATAATTGCTAATTTATTACTCTCGTCAATTATTTTCCGTTCATCCTCGTGTTTTTGCTCAGTCTCATCTTCAATTTTTTCCTTGGCTTTAATATTTTCTCTATTTTTAGATTCAATATCCAATGTTTTAGTGTCCTTGTCCTTATTTGTATCTGAAGTATCTATAATTACGGATCTGTTATTTCGCCTAGCACTTCGTGAACGCGATCTAGAACGTCTAGAGCGTAATTCCTTTCGGTTAACAACTTCCATGAAACCTTGTTCATCTACCTGAACTAAATTTTCTATAGGCTCTTGTTTGGGAGCCTCCTCCACATAAATCTGAATCTGCGTTGGAAGCGATTGTTCAATAATCTGTTCCGATTTACAAAGATCTCGTTCGAGATTGGGAGTATCGTTAACTTCCGGAGATTCAACGGATTTTTTACCAACTATCTCAGCCCATGTATTTTCGTTATCTTTCGTGTTGATAGCACTAACAGAGATAGTAGAAATGACTGATGTTTCTTTTTCCATTTCTTCTACCCAAGGAATTGATTCTTCTTGAGAAACAGGGTTGATTGCTGTTTGATGATCAGAAGGTTGCTGTACTATTATTTCATCTACTTGTTTATTATCCTGTTCTAATGGGCTTTGCAATTTCTCTGAACTAAAATCTTCAGGCACTTCTTCTTCTTCATGCATATCTGAAGTGGATGTTTTTATATCTATCGTTGTGTGATCGGATTTTAATGCAACAGGCTTAATTGAATACGTTTCTTCTTGGAACGTCTGAGGAGAAATTTTTCGAGATGAGGCTGCGACTTGTGCATATGATTTGTTACCTTCTTTAAGCTGTTTTGATGGCACAATGGGTTTTTCTGCAATTGGTTTGTCAATTTCATCCACTATTGTTGCATTTAAATCTTTATCGATGTTTTCGCTTATTTGATTTTCTAATGAAGATAATTGCATCTTTTCTTCTTTTAATGGAATTTCGCATGAATCAGATATGATTGACTCCTGTGATTCTTCTACTATATTTGTTACATTATCATTTGTATCTTGTTGAATATTAACAAATGTTTGATTATTTAAAGAATCATCTTTTGAAATGATAATTGCTTCTGTACCTTTTGTTCCAACGATAGCTGCCCATGATTTAACATTCGGATTTAACCGACTGTCATATTTAGGCACGTCATTTTTTAAATCCTGTTCTTTTTGTACATTTAATGATGTTTCAGATACATCAGATTCGATTTTTGCTGACTCAGAAAGAACAATATTATCATCCTTCTTTACGTTATCTTCACATTTTGTAATTAATTTTTCTCTGAGAACATTCTCAGATTTTTGCTTTTTTGATTTTTTATCAGATTTTAGCTTGCGTTCTTCACGTTTTGATAATGGTTTTTCATACTCTTTATTAATTGTATCTTGCGGTTTTGACTTTGACACAGATTCATTTGGAAGAGTTTCTAACTTTGCATTATCTTTATGCGATTCGGCCTGCGGTTCGTCCGCTAACCAAGATTTTTCTGTTTCTTTTGTTTTAGAATCAGTTTCGTTTTCTATTATTTTATGTTCTTCTAAATTGTTTTGTAACGATAACAGATCAGTCTCAGTGGTATCTGTTTTAATTTCCATGTCACTTTGCTTTTTAGGTGCAATTTTAGTTTTTGCTCGATCTTTAGTTTTTGGAACTTTAATATGTTTCGCCTCTTTCTTTTTCTTCGATTGATTTTGTATGTCATCACTTTGTTTTTCGTCCGTACATGAAATATTATTCTGAATATCTGTTATATTAGTATGATATTCATCTTTTACAGCAACTTCGTTTAATGGAATATTTGAAACTTCAATCTCTAATTCTTTCTTGTCAATTTCTTCTTTAGGTTTCTCAATTATTGTTTCTTTATTCTCAATTATTTCTTCTATTTTTTCAATCTTCTCTTCTTTTTGAATCTTTTCTTGTTCTTCAATAATAGATTGTTCTTCTTTAATCTTGTCTTCTTGTTTTTCAATTGATGTTTCCTTTTCAATTTCTTTTTCCTGTATAACTTTTATTTCCTTTTCTTCAGTCTCTTTTTCTCTTTTTTCAATTTGATCATTTTTTATTGTTTCTGGTTCTAATTCATCAAAGTCATCATCAATTACTATTTCTTCTTCAAGAAGAGCCATCCAAGCATCATCAGATTCTAAATGTACGGATTCAACAATATTTGTCGTAATATTTTTGTCTGCTTCTATATTAAGTTGGTTTGATTCTGTAACGTTACTAATTGCCTGAGAATCACTGACAGTATTAATTAAATCTGTTCCATCAATTAATGATGTCTTATTATTAGTAGCTGTGTTGTCTAATGATATAGCCGGTTCCTGAAGCTTTTCAACCGATTCTATGCAAGATAAACCTTCTCTAACGTCAGAAATAGTTTTAGATAATTGTCTTTCCTGCATCTGAGTTTCATTTTTTCCATCATGATCTTCAACATTTGTAAATTCTTTTTCTACCATTTTATTAATTGTATTTTCTTCTGAATTATACGTATCATCAAAATTATCTTCAATAATCATTGGCTCATCCAAAATGCTCATCCAGGAATCATCGGAAACTAAATGAACAGACTGCTGTATATATCTGGACTTTTTATCTTCACTGAATAATGAATCGGAAGTGTCTTGTAAGAATTGTTCTTTCGTGATTATTGTAGGTTCAAGCATGCGTGACGTTAAATTGTCATTTGTTTTAATTAGTTCAGGTTTCTCTACGTTAATTACATCTTCTTTAAAATCAGACATTTCATTTACTATTTCCTTTTCTTCAATAGGTTGTTTTTCTTTCTCTATTACAGATTTTATGGATATTTCAGAATTATCAGAAGAAATGGATTCAGATTTTTCAAGGGATTTGGTTTTAATCCATTGTGATTCAAAATTGTAAAAACTGGAAATTGGATACTTTGATGCTTCTATGATAAGAGCCTGTCTTCTACTATCGATATCGCATATTTCTTGGCTAGCTGATCTAATAGGTTTCATTACTGCTTCTTGTACAATTCTTTCTACGCTTTCTGGTCTTGTCTGAACTGTATCAGCAGGTAATTGTGGTTCTTTTACTATCTTGACAATTTTGAAATAGCGATAAAAATTACTTTCTGCGTGATTATAAGCATGATAATCTATGGCATAAGGTTTAACAAGATCTAACAAATAATCAGCCATTATTTCCTTCTTTGCTTTTATACTTTCAGATTTATCTTTGCTTTTTATTTCACTTGTACGTTCGTTTTCGCATTTCGCCTCAATTTCTATTTTGTCATTTGATACCTCCTTCTGAACATTTTCAGACATTACATCGACAACATTGATTCTATTTTTATCTATGGATTTTTTCTCTTCCTCGTCTAAAATATTTGATATAGCTTGATTAGTTTTATCATTTAATGCAATATTGTCATTTTTATCAGAAATATTAATACTTTGACTTTCTATAATATTGTCATTTTGTGAAATAGTGTCGATGTTTTCTTTACTCATATTACTATTCTCGCCTTTATTCTCAGGAACTTTTTCTTTTAATTGATTTTCCATTTTTATCACGCTATTATCTAATTGAGCAGTAAGTTCTTCTCTTTTCTTCTCAATGATCAGAGACTTTTTTGATGTATCAGAAGTCTCCGAAATGCCCGAACAAACTCTCCTCCTTTCTCGAACGCTACCGAATAGAGCCGATTCATCGGATATCACGACGTTCTCGGTGGAAATCGCAGAAGTTAAACCTACTTTTTGAGAATTCGCTATCTGATCCGATTGTACCGTACCAACGAGAGAATCGTTCCGAGGAACCCTAGCGTAAGTAGTGGTAAGACTAGCCTCTACAGTTTCAGGACGCAAAATGATCAACTCGGTAACTTTGGAACTCGCGATTCGAGGAAGGGGTATGTTTTCTAAGATTTCCACCGACTTCACGGACTTGACATCGGGTGGCTTGACCTTTACCGATCCTGGCACACTGGTGGTGGTAGTTACAGTAGTAATCGTTTTTTCTATAATTAAAGCCTTTCCTGTCGAAGGTAGTTGTTCGGATTTCGAATTATCATTATGTATTTCATCTATATATTTTTCTTGTACTTGAGTTTTATCAACCGAATTGTCCAAGGCTGTGGAATCTACTTTAATTTCAGCTTCATCTTTTTTCGGTGATTCTTGCGTCTTTTTGACATCAATATTATCATTATCAAGAGGAGATAAATTTTCATTAAACTTTTCTTGCTTAGGACTGGTAGATTTCGGGGTTTCTTCTTTTTCCGTTAAATTATCTCTGAAAACAATTTCCTTCTGTAATTTATTATAGAAAGAGGAAGGTTGTTTTGCTTGTTCAACTGGAGCTTTCTTTTTCTTTGTGCGTTTCGATGTTTTCTCCTTCGATGCAACATCTTTCGATTTTTCAACATCCTGCTCTTTCATTAAAGTATTTTCATCGCTTAGGTTAGTCTTAATATTTTTATCTTTAATAATCGTTTTTTCGTTTTTAATGTTCTGATATTTTCCTTCCGTCTTCATAGCGTTGTTATCTATTTCTGTAGAAATTTCAGATACTATAGGGAATGTTTCTGCAGTAGAAATAGTTTCAACTACATTTTCAGATGCCGTGGAAATAGTCAAATCCGGTTCCGATACAGTAGATTTTTCAATTGTTGTTGACCTTGTTTCTGATTTAGCATTATCTTTGATAAGCTTCGTCGTTTCGTTATGAGATACTTTTTCATTTATCGACGAAAATAATTCTACGATCGCAGATGCCGTGTTTATAATCGCATCTTTCAAATTTAATTTTTCTATTGATTTATCGTGCGTCAATGCAGTAGACGGAATAATCTCATCTTTTGATTCGTCTTTTGTCTCACTCTTAGGAATAACTTCTGGCGCATTATTAATTTGGCCTAGTGCTATATTTTCTCTCTCGTCTATTTTAACATCAAAGTTATTTTCGGCATTCGTTTCTGAGTGAACAAGACAGCTGTTATCATGCATTAATACATGTTGTTCGGTCAAATTTTCTTCTTTTGTGCATTGTTCTTGGATGACAGTTTCTGCCATAGATGCCGATAGAGATGTTGATAAAGATTCGATGTTAAGTTCATCTCTCTTTCCGATAAATTTATTTTCGACAAGCTGCGATGTTTCAGTTTCATCTTCTTTTATCTTACTCTTATCTTGAACATTAGATTTTATTTTCTCGGATTTTTTCTGTTTTGCGGTTTTTCGTTGACGTTTTTCTCCTTCTCGCTTTTTAATTGTCTCAATCATTTCTGTATTACTTTCTTTCTTCCCATCTATTGTATTTGCAATTTGTAAACTTTCTTTCGTAAATCTTTCCGTTTCTAATTTAGTATTTGTTTGATATAGTTCTTTGTTTTCTGTCAAATCTTTAATTTCAGCTGAATCATATGTTTTATCGTTTTTATACATAATATCAGTTTGTACAATTTCCTCTGTTATTTGCTGAACTGTCTTAGGCGACGATACAATTTCTTTTGGAATTTCAACTATTTCTGTTTCAGTAATTTTAGTTTGATCGGTTATTTGTTCAGATTTTGGAACAACCTCATCTTTCTCTGTATCATTTAAGTTTATTGCAGTCGAAGATGATGTATCGATTACAACTTCAGATTTTAATTTACTTTTAGAGGCCCTGTCTCTCTTTCGAGAATTAGTTTTACTTTTTATGTTATCGTTTATCTCAGCAATCTTTGTGGTATTAAGTGTCTTTGAATCATGTTCTTGTATCTCAATATCATTTAGTAATTTAAGTGGCTCTGAAGATTTTTCTTTGATTATTTCTTCAATATTGATTTTTTTTCTTGACTTATGTTACTGTTTTCAACTTTTAGTTCTTTCGACTTTTTCTTCTTCTTTTCTTTCATTGAAACATCTTTATGTTTATTCGTATTTATAGATATATTTGTCATTTCATTTGTATTTTCCAGTTGAATATTTTGAGTAGATGATAATTTTACAATCTCTGTTGTATTGCTTTCATCGACAATATTCATTTTATTCTTTTTATCATTTAAAAACTCTGGTTGATTTTGAATCTGATTGATTTTATCTTCTAAAGATTCTCTGCCTTGTTCTTTTATCTCTGTATTCTTATCTGTTTTATTCTTATCTATTCTGGTTTTTTTACTCCTACGTTTTGTTTTAGTGTTGGCTTTGTCAAAATTAATATGGACATTATCGACTTGAGATTGATCTTTCAACGTTTCCTTGGAAATATCTTTCTGGATTTCCTCTCCATTTTTGGAATCTAAAACTTTTCTATCTTTCATATCTTCTTTAATTTCCATATTTTCTTTTATAATACTTTGACCATTTGCTTCCATTTGACTTGGTAATGTCCTATGTTCCATCGGCACAGTTTCTTTTACTTTTGTTATTTCTTTAGATATTTCTGATTTCTTGGATTTCTCATCAGATTTGCTTTGTTTTTTGTCAGCTTCATCTTTAGATTTTTCCACTGTCCCATTGACAGAATCTCGAAGTTTGTTTTGTTCTTTATTTTGCTCTTTAGGTTTGTCTTTCTGAGACTTTATCTTTTGTTTATCCATATCTTCAATCTCTTTAAGAGCTTTGTCAATTTCGTCTCCTATAGATTTACTTGTTTTCTTTTTCTTTTGTCTGCGTTTCTTTTCTTGCGATGGATTCGTGTCTACCAAATCGACTACTAACTTTTCTTGCTCCACCGGTTTTTCCTCTTTCTGCGCTGAGTTATCGCTAATTTTATCAGAAACGGACTCGTTTTGCATTTCTAATTGTTTCGGAGGACTTAATTTCTCCTTTTTCTGTTTTTCTTTTGGTTTATCGACAGATTTTCGAGATTTCTTTTCATCCGTTTGTTTAGATTTGTCGTTCGGTTGCTGTTGTCTCTTTCTAACCTCCCGTTTCTTCATCGTATCCCAATCGTTATCTTTAGACTGTCTAGATTGTTCAGATGTAATCGCAAACGATTCTTGCTTCAATTCTTGTAACGGCGATAATTCGCGGGATGATAACTCGAGTGATTCCTTTGGCGAGTCAGAACCTTCCTTACTCTGATAATTCGTAGCTGGCAATTTGCTGACGCGTGTCGAAGTGACACGCGAACCAAGTCCTTGCGAAAGTATTTGCGCGTACGAGAAGGTTTGCCCTTTCATTTCCGCGCTATTCAACGGTGAGTCCTTTTCTTCCGTTTTATTCGTCGTGGAAGCTTCTACTTGCTCTTCAGGCTTATCGATAGATTCGGTTGTGATTACATCGTTAGGAACTTCAGGCTGTCTAAGTGTTGGCTCCTCAATAGGCTTTTCCACTATCATCGCAGTTGCGTGTCTCATGTCATTAGCCGGGCATTGCGGCTGCTGCATCGGAGTCTGCTGATAAATGTGATCTGATGACGGAAGATACGCGGTTTGCGCGACGTAATGTTCTGGCGTATACGCCAAGGAGCTGTTGTAAGGATTTAAGTTCATTGCATCGAGCTGCTGTACCTGCTGATGATGACCCGACGGCGCGTAAACGTACGAACCCACCGGATACGTTCCGAGTTGAGACTCGATGAAGCCCACCAGTTCCGGCATCGCCTCCGGCATCATGTAGTCATAAATCTCCGGTTGTGATTGTCTCGGCACGTTCTCGTAAGATTTCACATGTTGCAGTACACTGTAATCCTGCAAGGCTTCTTCGGCCCAGTTGGTTGACTCAGGCTCGGCGTAGCTGTGATCCTCCGTTTTCGCCGTGGAAATTTCGGGAGATTGACAGTAAGTCTCGGCGATTTGCACGTTATCCTCTTGATTCTCTTGCGATGGTGCTACGTGTTGGATCTCAGTGGCTTGTTGAGATTTGTCCGTGTTTGCGACAACGTCCACGTCCACGTCCACGGCCGCGCGAGGAGCTTCGACTCGACTGCGTCGAGACTCCCCGGATAAAGGAACCATCTCTTGCCTGGGTGATTGCGCAGGAGCGACGTTAACCTGCGTCGTCTGTGTAGATCCACGTAGAATGTCAGCGTAAGAAGTGGAACCGGGAACCCACATAGGACTGGGTGAACGTCCTCTTCGTTCTTCGTGCGGTGCCAGGTTGTTCCTTGTAGACTCCGTTCGCACTTCTTGCTTGAGATTAGTGCCGGATTTGTGCGGATTATCACGACTGTCGATTTCTCCTTTCTGCTCCATCGTCGCTTTTTGTTCCTTCACCTTGGACGAGTTTATCTTGCGCGTTGGCGATCGTCCGCGATGCGGCACTGGCGATTCGACCACGACTTTAAGTACCTCCTGCTGACATTCTTCCGTATCGACCGCGCCCTGATCGTCCGTTTCCTGCACGTGTATCTCGGTTTGTATTGGTAATGGTTTTGACTTGTTCAGATTCACATCGCTTTCTTGAGTTTGCACCTTTGAAATTTGTGAGTCATCTGGCGGAGGAGAAGATTCCGCAGATAACTTTTGAGTAGCTCGCATAACCACAGGTCGTAATACTTGCGCGGTCATAGGAGGAGTGGCGTCTCGTTGGTGTCTATATGGACTACAATTTCTTGAGCTCGGACTATTGGTACGTCCTGCTGCGATATCGGCGTACGAGGCTTGACCTATGAACCGGTACTCGTTGGTGGGTACGTAGTACGGATCCACCACGTGTATCTGATCCACCAGTGTCTTGCAGCGTTGCTTCCAATCCTCTACTCGTTGTTGCAGGCTCTGCTTTATCCATCGCGGAAGGTCAGCCAAGGCACAGCAATGGAATACATATACTATGTCAATTTCGAAGAATCTCTTTACATTCATCGCGGGATAGGGGAGTGGTATCGTTTTTAAAGCCAAGGTTTCGTTCGAGCAGAATGCAGTCGCATTCGAAAAAACTCTCTACGGTAAAGTGAATGGGGTTTCGTGAATGAATTCGAACCGATTGGCAATAAATGGAACTTTTATTTTCCTTACTTAATCACGTCGTATGGCTATTTAAGCGCATATATTCAGGATAAAGGACGCGTGCTCATACATTGTAAACGTAATTGCGTTTATAATCTCGTGGAGTGATATCTATTAGAAAATCAGTGCTCGATAAAAACTTACTTAGAAAAGTTACATGGTATTAAAAACAAAGTCGAGTCTCGGTTTTAACAAAGAATGTCGATGACGAGGACGAAAAAGTTTCATTTCATATTTTTTTTTTCAGTCTCGCTTTTATCGTTAATGTTGCCTTCGATTAAGTTTTGCACGTATAACTTAACGCGCGATTCGGCCGTCGTCGTCGTTTATTCTTCGGTAGTTTCACGAGGATTACAAAATCGAAAATAAACGAGCAACTTTTATTTGTAAAGCTAAAATAACGACAACGAAAGCCGAATTCGCTCAACGAGGGTAGATCTCTATTGTCATGGGTCCAAGGGTTCCAAATCTGCGGGTGTGCCTCGTTGCACGAGTAGCTTTGACCTCTCGGTGCGTGCCTGGATTTTACTTTGCAAGGATTTTATTTTCTCGCGACAGATCTGATCTCGCGTGCGAAATCGTGAACGCAAATCGAGAGCGTCAACACGTCGAACGAGCGAGAGGGAGAGTATGAGTATGATTAGGTTTCACAATGGTGAAAAGGAAATTGAATGGGAGCGCAGAACATAAAAAAGTCACGACCAGAGATAATGAATGACGAGCAAAATGTTGACAACGAGGATTCCAGTGACAACGGAGGATGACGTAAACGACGATGATCGTAAGAGGGATGAAATACGATAAAGGTAGCGTAAGATAAAGGGGGGGATACGTGATAGTGGCAGATAAAGTAGCACAGGTGATTGTTGGAAGTGATAAGGGCATGAAGGAATAAAGGGTACAGCAAAGAAAAATTCATAAATGAAACAATTGGTAAAAAATGAAATGCAACGAAATAATAAACAGAAATTAATGCATATTCGTAAGAAAAGAAAAGAAGTTCGGCTGATTTTGTCTGCGTATCTCACATGGTGTCGACACATGTCTCGACACCGGAGGTCACTTGATTTTCCTATGACTCATATGTTTTTCTGAGTTATAACAATCTAAAGATCACGTAAGGGATGCGTACGTATGAACGGTGCGTGACACGCTTTACGTGAAAGTGCGGCAGTACTTCGCGTTTTTTCTACGTGGTCTTTCATTCTTGAACGTTGTGCGTGATTGCTTATTACGTAGCATACGTAGACGCGCGCACACATGGACAGAGATGTATGAATATATATGTAAAGAGAAAGATACAAGTGTGTATGTATATATATACGTGTGAGCGTATATATACGAAGTTGTAGCAATATACACGCGTGATAAGTGAAACAGTAAAACGATAAAACGATAAAAAACCAGAAAAAAGAAACACAGAAAACAAGCAAAATCAAGTAATCCCCTTCAGAAATGAACAAAAGTTTCGCAAGATTATGTGATCTCTTAAGAGCTAGGGTAAAAGTAAACTGTAACGTGTATATATGTTGGCAAATGTGAGAATAGGAAAACGGAACAACAAAGTTAGAACATAATACCAACCAGTACCCCGTAAGCAATGTACCACCATGATGAACATAAGACCGAAAATCTTCGAGATTCGATTTCTAATTCGTGAATATGTCATTTATCACCGTTAAATAAAAGAAAGAAAGAGAGACATTTTTTAAATTAATTATTAATCCGCGTTATATCTACTAAAAATGTAGGACAGATTTTAGTAAATGTTAGATGATATATGATTATTTGATGGGAAAATCTAAGATAGTTCAGAACATTTTAGATTTATCCGTTAAATCGATAATTAAAAATCAATGCGACGCAATTAACATAAACAGAATTTAATTAATAAATTAAGTTCTTGATAGGAAATAACATCAAGATATTGATGATATCTTCGATACAAAGCTTCGATATAAGATGAAAGATAAGATACAGAAAGAAAAGGTAAGATACAGGATAAAAGGTGATATGATATATATATAACGAAAACATCTTGAATTAATAATTCATTTTAATAATTATAACTGTATAAAATAAATATACAATACGATATCTCAAGATGTTTCCATTGTTAGTTGTGCTTGCATATGGTTATTGGCCATTTCTTAATTCTTTATTTTATAATAAAAAATTTATTGTATTTGATATAATATTCTAGGTTTTTTTTGTGAAATATGTTTAAAACATATAAAGAATATTTTTTTTATTTTATCTTTTAAATGGCAAAAATGATAAATGGCAAATAACTCAGAAGTTAGCTGTAGTGGTTAATAGTGGCTCGATCGACGGTTAGTTGTAGGCCACGTGCGTTCTGATCGCGCGATTATTACTTTCGAAGAATGAGGAAAGAGATTTGCCTAACCGCGCCCGCAGAAAACTACCCCCGACAATCGCGCACGCGATACGACAATTCAAAGAGCGATAGAATAACGCGTTCTCTTGGTGGTGGGTTTTGAGTTGGTATCGAGCAAATGCAAAAATCAATTGCTGCTTCAGCGCATTTGTGCAGGTGATAAAAAAGTTAGGGAAAAAAGGGTTATGCCTACCTGTTGCTCTTGAAGAGCCTTTTCTCGATCATTTGGCATGTACGTCGGGCTGAGTACAGTTCTCAGCTGTTGCTCCACCTGCACAATGTGTTGTCTCAACTGTTGAATTTCCTGAAACGGAAACAAGACAATCGCTCGCTCGATATATATAGAAAAAGTATTGTATAACTGAAGATTGAATGCCCATTTTTCCATTTCATGCTAACCTGCTGATACTGATCTATCTGCGCTAAACAGGCTTCCAGAGAAGTTGTCTGTTCTTTGACGGTACTGTGAAGAGAATTGAGCTCGGCAATCAGATCATCGGCGGTATCTTTCACCCGATTGTCACCGACGATACCGGACCTAAAATGCACCTCGAGTTTTTCCACCGAGATCGTGATCTTTGTTTTTTGGATCGCGATGTCGCTGAGCATTTTCTCGCGGATAGCGTGCTGATCACGCAATGGTTTCTTCTTGTTCTGTGGCGATTCCAACGTTTGTTTTGCTTTCTCCATCCAGCTCCGTACATCCTTCATCTTCTTCTCACACTGCTCCCATTCTTCGCTGGCCTCTTGCAGCAATGCATTCTGTAATACGGGTATTTTTGATAATCGAATTGGTAATAGCCTAAATTTGAAGCGAGTCATTCACTAACCCTTTCCAATAGCTGACCCTCGACTTGAACTTTGCCCTCTTCCGCCTCGGCCAGTTTCTCGGGCAGATCGCCCACGTTAGTTACTTGACCGATATTCTCCAATTCTCTGCCCATATCGCTGAGATTCTTATTCACCTGCTTGCAACTCTTGACCGCCGTCTATAAAACGAAGGAAGTGTCAGCCGCGAGCAAATTTTTAGAACGTGAAGAACGACATTTCTTCACATACCGAATATTCGTGCAGTCTTTGTCTAGCTTGCACAAGAGTGCTGAGCTTCAGTGGTTCGACTAGGAACTGCTTTTTGTCCTCCGTCCACGCCTTGACGGCCTCGTAAAGCGCGAGGAACCTTTGCCAGGCGTCTAGAGTGTCTCCTACGATTTGTTTCTTCTCTTCCAACCAGCTCCTCACCTGCGCCAGCTGTTCGGTAAGATTATTGATCGTGCTGTTGATCAGTTCCTTCTCGGCGTCGTCCCTCGTGTTCTTGACGATGGTTTGCCCATTTTTCGTCAGTCGTTCGAGCTTGTCGCTAATCGTGCCCAGCTCATTTTGAATTTGTCTGAGGTGCTCCCTGAGGACGGCCGGCTCGACCGATCTATCTTGTACTTTGAGCTCAGCCTGACGGATCCATGCCTGCACCTCATCCACATCGGTTAGATAGTCCGATCTGACTGTTCTAGCACGTTTCTGCTCTCTCTGTTTCTCCTCCATCGCTTGTGCCGTCGCCTCGGCACAAAGCTCGAGTGCGGTCAGATGCTGGGTAATGTCACTTGGTACCAGCTGCTGGCTAGCTTGGTACCGCGCCTTAATGCTTCCTGAGAACTTCTTGGCGGTATCGACGAGATCCTCGACCTGCGAGCGCAGCTCGCCTAGTTCGGTCTCGGTTGCGTCTTGATCAACGCCGTAAATGTACAAATTCGAGGTGGTTTCGCGCACCTCGTTTAATCGCTTTCGCAGGCGCTCGATCTCACGTTCGACGTTTTCGAGCGCCTCCAGATCTTCGCTCGCCTTCTCGGACTTGCCACGAAGCGAGTCGACGAGTCTAAAAGGACGGTGATTCTTTGACGAATAGCAAAAAAAATACCTCTCTTGGAGATTAAAGAGTGGCTCTTAATAATATACCTTTTCTTAAAAATATTTAAGCGCACATAGACACATTTGAGCATTTAAGGGAAGATTCACGATTAGCAAGAAGAATAATTTCATTATTTCATTATTTTCTTTTGAAATTAAAATACTTTATAATACCTTTTACTCTATAATATCCTTTTTAATTAAAAAAGTAAAAAAATATCAATTATCTGAAAAAATATAAATGATATAAATTGCTTATATATTAAAAGTGTAAAAAAGATGAAAAATGAATAAAATAGCAACCAAAATGTAATCAAAAAATATTCTTACGATTAACATGTTATGTGGAATGAATAATTTATTAAAACATCGTTCCGTAAATAGCAGGCATAATTTCGAAACAAATTATATTAAATTTTCACATGGAAAAAATTTTATGGTATGATCGGTGATCTTAAGCGATCGTTCACGGTGAGGTGAGACAAATTTAGAATCGGAAATGCGTGTCGCTGTGCTTCGGCTGGCTCGATCCCAGGCGAAGTCACAGAGTCGGGGCAGCCTTGGCTAAAAGTAGACGAAGGAAGTATGTACAGGAGTTTAGCCGACTATGAGGAAGATACCGTTCGTAGAAGGTGCTACATAATTTTACGAGATGATTATTTCATTCAGTATTAAAACAATAGTATACCTCGTTATACCTCAAAAACGAAACATTATTATTCTATGAATATTAATTTTTCATTAAAAACAAATAAAATATTCAGAATACACATACAACGAAAATAATATCTGGTCTTGTAATAAAACTCTTCTTGGTTTCATTACAAAAATATATAATTTTCATTTTATATCTGTAAATTTTTTTTAATTGAAATTTTTAGTTGAAAAGAATATCTTTAAGCGGAAACAGCACAAGTGCATAATTTTTTGCTATGGCTTGAATAGCAAAGAACAACATAAGGAATAATTTAAACGTTGATGTCATCTGCCAAGAACTCGTATGTTGTCATCGTCCTTTCGGAAGAAAAGTACATTTTCGATTGGTCAATGCTAAGGCGATCTATTTTTTCAACGATGACAACATACTTTCGCTTCTCGAATAGAGGATTAAAATGCAAAATTGCAAGTTTAAAATTTACTCTGTTCGTGAATTATTTACTGGAGACCGAAATCTTATTTATTTAGTATATGTCATTTTTAATTAACTATAGATTGGCGAGTGCACGTTTACTCATTTTGTCATTCTGAAAATACGTGACTACGAAAGTTCTTGATGTTAGTATTTTCTTTTATGTACAACGATTCCTTTTCTACGATGACATCACACCATGCCGGGCTGAATGAGATATGACCGTCAGCCGGAAGGTACAAAGCGAAACAATCAAAATATCAAAGAAAAAAAAATTGAGATACAACGTTTAATTATATAAATCACGAAAATTTCTCTTTTGACTTCACTTTTCGTAATAATCTCATTTAATGTAATAATCGCGAACCTTCTCGCGTGCAAGCAACTTGAATCCGAACCCGTAAAATTCTATTTTTAATTTCATATATTTGTTCTCTTTTTTTACATTTGCGTAATAATGACAATCGCATCTAAAACAAAAGAAATTAGGATAGTAAACTTGCGTGTCGCGACAGTCGAATCAAATTTACGTTAAAATGAGTTTCCTTCTAGAAACTATTAACACGCGGTGATCTATTTCCGGCGAGTTACGAGTTTGGGTGCGAAGCGATTATCTTCTCTCACGCGATTTCGTGTAATCCACGATAGCCTTCATCGATCGCGCAACTTGATAGTTACGATCATGGCGGTACGCGCGATTCTATCTCTGTTGCGTCTGACGGATATATCGTAAAAAATTCTCGTTACTGGTCGATGACTGGTGTGAATGAAATCACTCTCAATCTATTTGTACGCATGATGTTACAATCGGACGATACAAGCCGGAGCGATACATGTACCTATGTACCCGGATGCGGTAATCGCGAAATATTCGCGTGTCTTCGCGCTAACGACGGATTCGCGAAACGAAGGCGCGCGAACTCTTCTTCTCTTCACTTTCTTCTCTTTCTCTCCGTTTTATCCTTTCTTTAATCCTCGTTCTCGTTCTGTTTATCCGGATAACAGTATGGCGCGGCACTATCAAGCCAAACAGCAGCGCGTTCGCGGTTCGAAACGTTATTGAAGGAATATAGCCGCCTAAGCTAGCGTTAGACGACAGTTGAGACGCATTGGCGAGGCGCCGCGACGCATGCGGCCTGATCTTAGAACCGGCTCGGTTAGCCAAGAACGTCCTAAGAATAATCGGCCGATGGGTTACGGAGAATTAGAAGACTGTACGGGGTGATTTTGGTGACACGGGGCGGTGGGGCGTCTTTGTCGCGTAACATTTTACAACAATTAATTTCAGTCAGAGCTTCTTATTGCAAATCTGCTTGACTTATCATGACATATAATATTTTATATAAATTATTATGTATATTTTTCTTGATAAAAATACGGCCATTTTCCGGTAATTTTAACCAGCATCTTAGATTGGATCGTCAGATTTATCGTCCATTCGTATCGCATACGATATTTAATCGGTACCATGACTATCACGACGAAATAACACAAGTCATAATAACAATCGCATGGCATAGCAATTGAAATTGAGACTGAGATTATGTGCACGTATACTGATAAGCGTAAGTTATAAATAAATATATAGATAAAAATACAACAGAATGTTAATTATTTGAAATATTATTTAGAAGAAAATATATTACTGAAATTATTAAAAATTATTTTAAAAAGGAACGTTAGTCTCGTCTATCATAAAAATTTAATAAAATTTTGTATACAAATTCCACGGCAAAATTTGTATTATAAAAATTATGAAATTTAATTACATCTAAAAATATGTAATTTTCAGATATTTTGATTTCTTCTGATTTCTTCTGATTTCTTTCTATTCCATTTCGAATAATCAATAAAAAATTAATAATTTTTTTTTCAATTTATACGCTCTAACGCGAAAAATTTCTTAAAGTCGCGTACTGATTATTACGGCACATTCTATTACGTTATGTATACATATGATTATATCACGTATGATATGTGGTATGCGCTATGTTAACACGATTTAGAAAAACAATGTTTGATTTTGTTTTCAGACATCAAGTCTATTTTTAATCGTCGTCAGATGCATCCCACAATCGGTCAGCTAATTACGTATCGATGACACCAAGATACTATAGAGAGTGTAGAAAATCTTATACGCGTATTGCATTTTTCTGTATCATGAGTGTTAGGTGAATTTCGACTATATATACGCAAATTTTTACATTTTGTTACATTTTGTTACAACGTTGATTAGTTAGAGATTAAAAAAGATCGATTTTAAAACAATATTTTATGGGACGTACGTTAGAAAATTGAATTTTGCAAAATATTTTCATTTCCTTAGTAATACACAAGACATGAGTACAGGCCTAAATGTTCTTATTTGCAATTATAAACTATTTTCGATTGGAAGTTATCTCTAATTCCGCATGCAGTACACATGTGTGTCGATATTGTGCTAATGTAGTAGTTTCGCTTCGCGCGCATGCGAGACGGCGACGTTTGCGCCGTAGGCGAGATGAGATTTCGCAAGTTTAAGTAATCGCCTCGATTTCCTTTGCGATTGAAGGATTTACCTTGTGGATATTTTTTCATCGAATTATATACGTAATCATCTTTTTTTCTTGATATTTAAGAAGAGGCGTAAAAATAAAAAAAGAGGAAAAAAAAATCTCGTAAGTATCGTACCTTGGAAGAGCGTGTCTTCCAAAATGTAAGCTCATCTCTGTCCCAAATATCACTGTTCACGACAGTTTCTTATTCGCGTGTTTCGTTCCGCGTACAAATGATAATTACGCCATTCCCGCACTGACAGTACAACACACACGAAATTGGACGTAAATACGACACGAGACGTCATGCTCGACAAAGATTCGCCACCTGGCAAAATGTCAAGATGCACGTCGCACCCCCGGCGACGTTATTCGCGAGTGGTTTAAACGTGTGATCAACTTAAACGCGAAATCAACGCGATAATGCGTCGGCAGAGAAATGCAACGAAAAGTGCAATCATTAGCAGTGCGCGCGACGCGTCGTGCATCGATGCCGGTACGATGATGACTGGATGGAACTGGTGCGTGGTGATGCTCCTGAAAAAGCATGGTAGGGGCCATGGACACACGTTTCTCTCTCAAGAACGCATATCGACCTTCATCGGTCTGTAACCATCTTATATCGAGTGTTTTTTTACGGTGTTATACGATCGATGTTACGTCATATGACAGATTTGGTGGTGACGTAGCGCGGCGCGTAATGAAACGACTACGGATCGATGAATGTCTGCGACCATCGGCTAAATGTCAATGTACGTGTGTGTGTGTATGTGTGTGTGTGTGTGTGTGTGCGTGTAACTTAACTATCGCGAATATTGATAAATCGCGCGATTACATTCCGCTTTTTTTAACTTAATTTGCTAGTGTCGATTTTTTCTTAATAAAAAAATATAAAAGCCGTCATGGAATAAACGATATCATTTTATTTTATATCTTCTTTGACTTTTTTAATCAACTTTCCAACTTTCGTTGGGATATAATCGATCCTATATTAGCCAAAGAATGAAAAATAATCTTAGATCTATTATTAGGGGGGAATATACTACAAATAATTATGGGGATGAGAATACCTATAAAGTATTTATATTTCTGCGTTCTATTTATACTCAACTCTGTGGCGCTAGGCGCATTACGTCGAACTTGGACTAGCATTCACGTTGCGTCGTAATTGTCATTACGTATTAGATTCGTAATTTTTATGCAACATTATATAATCGCGAATTAAAAAAAGAGTGAGTCAAGCGTGACAGATAATGATTATGAATTGTTACGAATAAAATAATTACCAATCATGTAAAAATTTAAAGCCTCACCTTAATAACTTTCACAAAATTTGACATTTCTCACTGTCATCTCTTTTCACTTTAAGTGTAGATCTTTTTAAAATAACTTTCATCACCCATGACGTAGTGCAACAATTTCCTTTTCTAAATAATTGCACTGTGATATTACGAGTGTTTCAATTTCCGCGTTCATTGACGAACGGTCTTGCTACTGAACTTGCGACTGAAAGGCTCACGTTGTATTTTGGCAATGATTAAAGCTAACGATTTAACCAACAAGGTAGAGGAGATAAAACTTTGCCAAAACTATAGAACATTTACATTTCTTCGGTATTTCTACTTATTGGGAAATGTAATTTTTCAGAGTATCGTATGTAATCTTCCCTTAAATGTACAACGCCAAAATTAAAGGAATAAACATATACATATATGTAAATTTACATTAATTATAATATTTTTAATTAATATAACAAGTTAACGCTAGATTAAAATGATCACCTGAAATAAATACTAAAAATATTGATTACATTAAAAATATAACAATGATAAAATTGCTGTAAAATAGAAAATATATATTTTGTAAGAAGAAAGGAGGGGAATACATAAGCAGAAGCATCAGATGCACATATATGCATGCTCATGCAAATTTGCTCGCAGAAGGACCTTAATAGCACCTTTAGCACCTTGTCAGTCCAAAAATTATGACTTACTATATAATACTTTTGTATATAAATCATAAAAAGAAAAATTTTCTGTATTAATAATTAATTAATCTTTTTAATTATGAATATTATTAATTTTATTCTCAATGTTTAATAGTAGTGCAAACGCATCTGTCTTATTCCCGATATGACTATGAACTTCGACGTTAAAATTTAAAAGTAAAATTTTATAAATTTGGAATAAAACGCGAATATTTGTTGTATTTTTACTAGAATATATAAAATTAATATTATTGATTGTTAAAGTCATGTATTTTATTATTTTTGTATTATTAGCCTTTCGGAAATTTAATAATGTTCGTTATTTATATAATTGCCTATGCTAGCTAAATAAAATAATATTGGATGGACTGTCTCGCGATTACGTTGATGTGATGCTGGTCCATGCTGAGCAAATATAAAAAAATAAAATAATGCACTTTGACTCACGATTCGACGGATCTCTCTAGTTTCTCGAGACGTTCTTCGAAACTTCGTGCTGGCGCTTCTGTAAACGCTGCGAGATACGCGAGCACAGGTCCTGCCAAACCCTTCACTTCTTCCGTTAGAGGTTTAAGCTTTTCAGCTTCCGTCACAAGTTCCTATCCGCAACGAGAGATCAAGAAGCGAATTAACTGTCTGTGCATTACTCTGCATTATGTCCAAAAAAGGTTTAATAAACTATTTCAATTTTTGTAATATACATATATCCGTATTGTAATGAAAATGTGGCATGATTTATAAAAATAAAAATATCACTGATATGCGACTTTCTCTACGAGCGTTCGTTGCGGCTTGATAATTCGTGATCGACTAAAGTAAAGTTAGTTTTGGAGGGCCGAGCACCTGTGGTGCCTGGCTGTGCAAGTCTGACACGTGCGGCATTTATAAAGGGGGGCATCAGGAAGAGAGAAAGATAGAACTAATTGTATATCTGTACCCTTGGCGTACAATAAATCAATAAGAATGTGTATCTACATAAAATGCGACATTATACAGACATTTAAAGGACAGTATGCTTTGCGTGCGACGTACATATTTTCAATTATAGTTTATAATAAAATTTTATATATTTATGCATATGTTAATAACCACAGATCACGCTTAATCCATTTTCAATATTTTTAGCTATTTTTATGCGATTGATTGAAATTCGTGAAATATGAGAATTTCTCTGATACTAATTCCATTATAATATATTTGTACATTTATTATTGTTATATGTAATTTTTTTCAGTAGAAAAAGAATTGATTATCCGTAAAATAATTATTAAAATAATTATTACTTACTTCTAATGCTTTAACGGTATCGTTCAAATGTTGCTTCGATCGCACCACCGTATCGACAAGCTTGCTTTTTTCTTCAGTTGCAGTCAATCGCGTTTCGATGAGAGACCATTGCGTTTCCAAGTCTTCCCAATGTCGCGATAATGCCTCAAGAGTATCTCTTCGTCCTTCGAGACCCGAAACAAGTTCGCGCCATTCCGAATTGATTTCCGACAGCTGCGATTCTATCGCTTTCTTATTGTTAGCGTCTGCAAGTTGGAGAACCTCTCGTCCACGTTCGTTTAGAAGATCTAATTCGAATTGTTGATTCTGTATCAAAGTCATAACAAAAAAAACATTAAAAATACATTAAAGTCATAACCAAAAAAAACATTAAAAATACATTTAATTAATTCTCAACATAACATTTAATTTTTTTTAAATAATTTTTTTATTTTCGAAGAATCTTTTATAATTTCTTTTTCATATTGTGTGATATAGATAAAGTATTTCTAAAAAGAAAGAAATAATTATTTTTATATTTACTATTTTTAACTTGCCTGAATATCATTAAGTGCATGCGTGATTTTCTGAATATTGAATTGCAATCCAGCTAATGTAGTGACTGGTTCATCCGTGAATTTAGTTCTGTTGATGACGGCGCGAACACGTTCCAAGCTTTGCGTATAATCCCTCCACATCTCCGCTCCCTGTTCCAAGCGTGAACGTTGCGATTTAGCCGTATTGAGGGTGTTCTTTAATAGCTGAGTATGTTGCTGCTGTTGTGCACTTAATTCTTCCTGCTCGTAATTATCTAAAGACGGCCAGATCTTATCTGCCACCTGTTGAATTTGTTGCGATACGAGCTCGCGTATCGAAGCTTCACTGCTGAAGTATATCTAAAAAAACGTAATGGAAGTTGACAATTAAACTTACTTGTCCATAAAATTATTAATTTTATAAACAATTTAAGCTTAATCTCAAACTTCAACTCCTTCTAGTTTAAGCTAGTTCAAATAGTTAAAAAAAAAAAAATAAGAGGAACTTCTTACCTTGTGTTCTTCCAGGTCGCTAAGAATATTTTCAAAGTCAAGACCCTCCTTGTTACTCTCAAGCCGAATTTCCGCTTCGCGAGCCCAATTATGAAGTTTGTCGGTAAGAGCTGCATAATCCAGTCTCATCTGCATGTTACTTTCGAAATAATTTCCGCGTTCTTCCATCTCTCTTGGTAGAGACGTCAACAGAGACACCGCCTCGCTTAGCATTTCTTTTAAAGATCCAGGCATTCCTTCTTCATGTCGTACTGATTCCTTCAGATTTCTAATTTTATCTAGATATTCGTTCACGTCGGCGCAAAGATTATGATGTTTTTTCAATTCCACCTCGACGCTCGTTGGGTCTCTTTCCAATAGCGGTCTGGACTTGACTTCCTTCTCCTTGCTCTCTAGCCAATCAAGAATATCCGCCAATTCGTCAGCGAGTCTTCTATGCTCGGCTGCAGCCAATTCGTGCTGCTCTCTTTGTGTCTCTACTGCCCTTCGGAGAGCTTGTAATTGTTGTTTCAACGACTGCAACTGCTCTGTCACGTTGTTTCTATCTACAACTGAACCTTCCGCCGCTATTTGCTGTCCCTTATCTGTTGCACTAGCAAGAGTGGCTTCGCATTCTTGAATTTTTAATATAGCGTCGTCGTATCTATTAAATTGTTAACAAATAAAAGAAATTAGATGACTGGTATTAAAAATAATTTTTAGCAAAATAAATTTCAATAAAAAAATATATTATTTAACATTAATATATTATATATTAGTAATGATACCTTTTAATTTTCTCTTCCGTTGTTTGTCCAGACTTCTCGATGTCTCGGATAATTTCAGTATACTTGGCAATAAAAGTAGTAATTTCTGCGATTAAAGCAATAAATTGTTGTCGTAGTAGCAGCAACTGACGAAGTTTCGCTATTTGTGCTTCGAGAGCTCTTATTAGATCATCTTGTTGAGCTAGTACGCCATGTAGATCTCCCACATTAGCAGATTGAAGATCAGATAATTTGGCTTTGTTTGCCTTGAGGTCATCTAGAATTCTTTCATAAGCAGCCAACATTCCCTCCACGTCTTCCACGCGAGCACCGATCGGCTTGTTCAAATCATGAAGCTCTTTCTGAATATCTGTCATGAATTTAATTGCTTCCGCCACTCGCGCAGCAGCTTCTTCGGCTTCGTCTATACTCTTCTGGAGTGCGATTGCTCTTTCGTTTATTATTCCAGCCACTCGTCCATGAGCTTCCCTCATATTTTTCAATTGTTCGCTTAATTCCTGCTTATCAGCATCGCTCACAGTTGGCAAAATTGATTTTCCTTGCTGGTTTATTTTTCTATGTCATCACCATATTCTTGTGCCTCTTTCTTCAATCGATCATACTGAAGAGAAGGAAATATTTATAATCTTTAGATACGTTATTATATAAAGGATACATAAAAGTCTCAATTTTTTTAAACATAACTTCTTTAGTTAACTTGTGAGTAATTATTTTCTACTTTCAAGAATTATATACATACCTTAGCAAGTTGTTCACGAAGAACGTCAAGACTGGAAGGTCGCAATTCCGAAGAGGTAGCCACTTCAGCTTCCTTAATCCATCGTTGACACTTGTCTAATTCACTTTCAAAAGTCTTGCGTCCTTGAAGAAGATCTGCCAACGAAGCTTGCTTTTCTCTCGCCTCCTTCTTCAACTCTTCATAATCCTTACTTAAATCGTCCAAGAGGGCTTTGAGTTTGGCGCGACTGTCTGCATTACAATCCTTCATCAAGTTGTTCCCTTGTTTAAGAATGTCTTTAAGTTTGCTTTCATTAAAGGAATCAATATCTGCTTCCAATCCGCTGTGTTGCGCGATATCTTGCTCGACTTTCGAAGCCCTCAAAGGCAAATATCCACTAAGTTTTTTCAAATCATTGCCTTTGGATTTTATCCAATTTCGTGCCTTTTCAATATCACTCTCTAGTTTGCGTCGTGCATCAGCCGCCGCACTCGCAAGAGATATTTCTTCTCTTAAAATGGCGCATAATTCTACCTGCTCGCCCCGCAAGGACTTCGTGTCAGTTTCTAATTGTTGCTGCTCGCTGGTTTCTAATTCATTCTGCATATTTCCAACTCTCTTTTCCAACGTGTCTATAATCAATTGCTTTCCATCCGCTTCTTTCAACATAGCCTGTGTAAACGTAATAATATAATTAAAGATTAATATTTCCATGTGATAAAGAAAAGTAATAAATAAAATAAAGAATTACCTTGAGAGTGAGAAGCCTCTCTTCTGCTAGTTTACTTTCAAATCCCAGTAATTCAGGCATCTTTATCTGCTGCTTTTTCTGTTCAATCCATTCGCGATTCTCCTCGATCTCTCGCTTGGTTGCTTCGATTCCCTGTGCCGTCATGTCCAAAACTTGGGCTTTTCTTTGCAATTTCTTACTGATATCTGCATGTCGTCTCTCTACCGATTTGATTTGTTCTTCTATTTGCTGAGAGTCCAAATTGCTAACCGAATCCATCACTTGTTCACTCAGTTTCTTGACTTCTGCCAATTTCTCTGGTCCCTGAGACTCAAATTCATTTGTGATATCCTTGAGATTCAAGATTTTTTGGCTAATAGTTAATCCACTACCCTTCTCGATCACATCGACCTTCTTCGATAGGCCATCGAGCCATGTTTGAATATCTTGCACTTGCGATCTGTATTTCTGAATAAGATCCTGTGCCGCTTGTTTTCCACTGATGGCGTCAGTTAACTCGCTTTCCAGTTTGTTCAATCCCTCCTCGATATAGTGATCCTCCTTGTGAATCGATAACTCCGTCAACGCACGAGTGCGACGTTCGCCCACATTGGTGAGCAACTCTTTCATTGCCTGTAATTCAGCCTGAGCAGCCTCTGCTCGCAGTTTTGCTGGTCGTGACTTCCATTCGGCACAGAGAGCTCGTTGCTGATTGATCCAAGCACGGAGGGAATTCTTTTGTCTTAATTGTTCCTCGAGCTCACCCACCGTTTTCATTACGTTTGCCAAGTGCGTTTGCATCTGTGCGGCAGCATCGAAAAAACATATAATTTACTTCACATGGAAAACACATTGATACAATTCTAAAATTTCTATGTACATTGAATGATATAATAGATTTATTTAAAATATTTATTTATATTCTTCATATTAGATTTTATAAAATTAATAATTAAATTATCGAAAATGTTAATTTTATTTAATTAATTGAGAAATAAAATTAAATACGTACCTGGTCAATAAGATCGTCAAGCCTTGTTCTGACCTCCACTTCTCTCGCGGGGACTTGAACGGGTGGAGCATCGAGAGGACTTCCGGGTCTAGAAACGCATGCTGCCGCAGCCTCGCAAGCTTCCACCGCTAATGCCAATCGGGCTTTCTCAGCTTGTAACTTATTGTGCAAAAGGCGAGCACTTTCAAGACTTTGCTCGGCAGTAGGCAAATTATTTAGCGGAATCTCCAATCCTTGAGTCATTTCCGTCTCATACATGTCTAGATTTTTCATGATGCTCTCCAAGGTATTTTCATATTCCTGGAACTTGGCCAGAGATTCTGCCAATCTATTTTTGATCTGCAAGGCAGTGTTCAACAATGAATTGTAACTGTCCTGAACATTTTGCAGCTGCATTTCTATGGTTGATCTAATAGCGGGATTGGCAGCAACATATCGATCTATTTGACTATGACCCTTTGACTTCAATTCATCTAATACTTCTTGGTATTTCTGAATTTCAGATAGCAGTACTTCATGCTGTTTGATCTGCTCGATTGTTTGTTCTTTGTTGGTGATGTAGAGAGAATTGTGTGCCATTAATTGGAAGGAAATCTGCAACAACCACTTTTCCGTTTCTTGCAGAGCAGCGTGATACGCATTATATTCTTGTATCTCGTTTTCCATGAAATTTTTCTTCTCACCGATGAGTTCGCCTAGCGTTTTCCATCGAGTTAGTAATTGTTTCGTCTCGTTTAGCGTCGTATTGTTCTTTGCCCATGCTGACAATTCTGTTGCTTCTGTCATCAGATGATCCAAATCGGACTTCTTGTCACGAACCTCCTCCTGAATGTGTTTGTACCGTTCGAGCATAGTTTTCATCTCGCCAAACTCGCCTTTCGTATCCGGAGATTTTTTAAGGACATTCTCGTTTTCTTCTAACCATCTTGTAAATTTATTATATGCTTCTGCGTAATCGTCCCAGCGACTCAGAACTGATTTTACTTTAGCTTGAACCGTATTCAAATCTATGCTCAATTGTTCCCAACTGGAACGTAGATTAGCCATATCCGATCGTAATTGATCTTGTTGTTCTGGAAGAGCCATGTTAATTGCCTTTGCAAAGGCATTCTGTAACGTCGATAGTAGATGTTGACCTTCCGTCACACGTGTTGCGACCAGCTGTTTGTGAATTAAAATAATATTTAACGTTATCTTTTTATATTTATATTTATATCTATGTTTATCTATATTTCGCTATTACATTTATTGAATAAATCAAATAATGTTTACTTAACGATTTACTCCAACATTTTAATGTTAAAATAGATATTTTTTTCTGAAATCTATAACTTAAAAAAATAATATATTTGCAAATTAAATTTACACGATATTTTTTGATTAGCACAATTAGTAAAATAGTCATATATTTCATCAAATTTTTCAAAATAATTTTATATTATTTTTCTCAATAAAACTCACCTTCAATGTTTCTAATTTATCCTTCGCCCAAGCCGCATCTCCGACACCGATGCAATCTTCCACAGAACCTTGAGCGGTGCGTAACCAATCTTCCATCTCTTTTTTGGCTTTCAAGAATTCGGTATGATCGGCTAAATTTTTTTCGACCTTCGATACGAGCCCTTGCGCATCCGTTAAAAGCGATGTGTACGCTGATTGCAGCTGTACCGTCTTATCTCGCGCCCAACTGCAAGCACTGACTTCCAACAGAGCTTCACACTTATCATTCAAATCTTCCAAAACTGGTTTTTGCTTAACCGCTTCTTCCACCAAACGTTTACAACGTTCTAAATCCTCCGGAGTTTTATTGTCTTTGGTCTGCTCATCAGCGATCTTCTTTTGAAAATGATCTATCCATCGCTTCATGCCATCTAACGCGTTTGTGAACTGAGACCAGTTCGAGATGCAATTGGCAAGAGTTCGTTGTGATTCGTGACATTGTGCTTGCAGGGATTTCCAATCGTTTTGTATCTGCTTCATGTCTTGTTTAATGGAATCTTGGCCCTCAGGTCCCGTTTTAGAGATCACGACGTCGCTCAATTCAATTATCTTTGAGATCAACGTATCACCTTTGGGTAGAGACGAGATAATTTGATTAATTTTATTCTCTCGTTCAATGATTTGTTCCTTTTCGCCATGAGTATCACTGTACTGCTGAAGCTCAACTTTTGTACGACGCACCCAATCAGCTGCCTCATTCAAAGCTTGTTGGAATTTTTCGTGATCTTTGACTTGGTCTTCCAAATTCTAAAATAACAGAGATAGCAATAATGTAATAATGAGCAAATATTATAACTATTTTTATATTTGTAAGTTAAATAAAAAAAATTTACTTACATGGATTTTTTCGGCAATTAGTTTCTTCAAGCTATCGTATTTATTGATTGTCGATTCATAAGGACTTTTCGATATGTTGGGATTTTCATTAAGACGAGTTTTTAAGCGTTCTACCGTCTCGCCATGACCGTGAATATCTCTTTGCAAAATTTTATATTTTTCTAACAGAGCACGTTTTTCGCTGAGATCATTTCTGCAGACATCTGCTGGTTGAACCTTGCCTTCAGCTTCTTCCAACCAATCCGAAATAAGTCGATGAATCTTGTTAAGTTCCTCCAACATACTTGCTCTTGCCGACAATTTTTGTCTCACATCTTCGACGTCGATCAATAACTTGTCAAATTCGCTCTTTAAGTTCTCAGTGTCTTCTTGAATTTTCGCCGCACCGTTTTGCTCGGTATTCATAATAACTTTCTCTTTTAATTCCAGAGCGTAGCGTAACTTGTTCTGACCTTGTTCCAACGTCTGCCGAATAGCTTTACACGTGTGTAACTTATTGTTCACTTCAATTAACGTGCTGGGAATATCCTTGCACTCACTCAATTTGTCTCGTGTGCGCTCGATCCAATCTTGGCATTCTTGATACAAAGTATTGTGTTGCTG